CACCCTTAAAGCCCAAAACGCCAATCACACGAAACCCAAACACTCTGAAACCCTAAACCTCGAAACCCCTAAAGCCCGAAACCCTGACACCCCGAAACTCCTAAACACTTAAACCTTAAAACCCAACAACCCCAAAAGACCGAACACACAACAGTTTTAAGGGCCCTAAAGCCCGAAACCCCAAAAATCCCTAAACGCCTTAGCGCCTGAACCCCTAGACCCCCGACCCCCTATGACCCCCGAAACCCCAAAACCCTTGGCGCCTACCAGACCCCTAATCCCCTAAACTCCTAACCTGCTAGTCCCCTCAACCCTTAGTACACCCCTAAACCCCTGAACCCTTAAGCCCTCAACCCCCCCAAAACCCTAAAGCCCGAAACTCTTCTCTCCGCACCACCCTAAAATCCCAAACCCCTAATGCGCTAAAGCCCTATGTACATATATATGCATATATAAATATGATATGATATGATATATATATATATATATATACACCCCTAAACCTCTAAACCTTTTAAACCCTAAACTCCAAAATAAGCCCCCAAACCTGAATGAACATATCTAGTTTATGCTGGGTCGGTTAATGAGTTAATGACTAAGGTTTCGTTTAAGGGCTTGGGGCTTTTGTCTCTGCATATGTAGAGTCGGAACAGCTGGTTTGTGTAAACTTAAAACGGAAAACCTATAGCTATATCCAGCAAAACTGAAATGCATTACTTTACACCGGCAGTATCTCAGGACTCAACAAGATAAAGAAAGAGACGGAGATAGAGTGATAGCGATAGAGATCGCGCTGAAATCTGTTGATTTCAAACTGGTATTTCTATTGATTTTATGGAAAATTTCTATTGATTTTATGGAAAAATTTCTATTGATTTTATGGAAAATTTCTATTGATTTTATGGAAAATTTCTATTGATTTTATGGAAAATTTCTATTGATTTTGAAGTGGATGTTTCTATTGATTTTTATGTCTGAGTTCTATTGATTTTGAGGATTTCCATTTCTATTGAAAAACATGCTTTTCTATTGATTTTAATCGACCGAAACAAAACGCTGAGAAATTTCAATCGCGATTGATTTTTTTCAATCGGCGGTCCTCTGGGAAGCTAGCAAAGGAATCCTGGGAAAAAGCAAAGGTGTCGTCGTTCGCTGCTATCTCAAGAGGTCCTGCGATCACACCCCATCTACCACAGCCATGTCTGGGTCTAGGCGGACGCATACGAAGGCCAATTCGTCCCCGCATCACCGCGATCAGGGCATTATGGTCTGAGGGGAGTGCACGCCTCCAGTCCTCCCTAAGGTGATAGGCAGTCTCAACCATCGGCCAGCGGGTCATGAACCAATCTATCGTACTGAATTCATTCCGGGCAGTCCAAGTGCAGCCAAGGGGCTCATTGAATTCCAGTCCACGGTGACGGGCAAGGAGTTGAAGTCGTGCCAGTGCAGGAAAGGAAGGGTTTGAATTCAAAACATGTTGATTCGCATCAATTCCCATACAGATGACATCGTGGTGTCGTGCTAGTGCGAGAGTTTCATCTATCTTCGCAATATCCGAAAGCCAAACATCCTCCGCGTCTGGTCTTTGTTGATGGGGAAGGTGTGCTGTTCCAAGCCAAAAGTGTCTCCCCTCAGCCTTGCATTGGAGAATGAACCCTGTGCTGAAGGGGTGACGAGCCACTACCTGGAGGTCAAGGTCAGACCTGAAGAGTAGAGCTACCGCCCTATGGGACAGTGGTGTCTGGTACACAAAGACCTTATAGGATTGACCGCTGAAATCAAGATCATCAGTTTTCCAGTCCCCTTCAGGGACGTCCGAGCAGCCTCCGACTTCCTGGAAGACAAGAAGCTCAAAAGGATCTTCCACATCATCCAGCAAGTTTTTTACTGAGCTCAAGTGCTTACCATGGAGATTCCACGTGACTGCTGTGAACTCACGAATTCTAGTTGCAAAGCCTTTCTTGCCATGGGCCCCCGAGGACTGTTGTGCTAGTCAATTGTGGAGCTCATCACGAACCTGATCCGGGGACAGGGACAAAATCCTTCCTAGCTGTTTGACATCAACGAACCAGCCTGTTTCATCACCGGCCTGATTTGTCAACATCATTGAGTTTTCATCAGGCTGCTTGTTGCGATGCCAAAACATGCACTGTTCCGAGCGTATCCAAAGTCTCCCAGACCAGTCAAGGTCCACAAAGGCCTCCGATAAGTGCTTGCAAGCCCACTCTTTGATACTCACTAGTGCTCTCACTTTCTCTCTGTCCTCTTTGCTTCTGTTACGTGTAACCCAAAGCTTCGCTTTCTGCTGTCCAGGGATAATGCTAACCCACCCATCTAACTTTGCTCGCAGCGCCTGGATCGTAAGGCTCTGAATGCGCCTGCGTTCCCCCAGATTGCTGTTAGTAAACAACAACTCCACACGAGCAAACCGTGTCCTCACGAAAGGGATCGTGATGTTATGGAGTAAGGGCTTAGCTTCTATCTCCTCAAACAGAAGTCGCACTTCCTGTTCCGCTTCCCCACGTCTAGCCTCATCCCATCCGCCAATGACAAGTTGCAAATCGTCTACTACAGGCCTGCCCCCCGCAGTACTGGCCGCAGCAGATCCTCGAGGGCTCTGTTCCACCCTGTGGGGCGCAGGGCTGACGGATCGGGACCTGGCTCGTAGGTCCCTGACTTCAGCTTCCATGTTGTCTAAGCGGGTGACCATGTCCCCTTGTGCTTTCTGGAGTGCTTCCTGCTTTCGGTCAATGCCCTGAACCTGAGCAGCAACATCAGATATGTGGGTTTTATGCGTCTGCAACTCTGACATCAGGTCCCTTTGTCCTGCCGCTACCATATTCTGAAGGTCGAAAACCCAGGAAGGGGGAGCTTGAGGGTCTAGATTATACACTTCCGGGGCACCTCTGGTAGAGGCTTCAGCAGATCTCTGGTGGGCTCGGGAGGGCTCGCCACCAGCAAACATCGTTTCTGGGGTGACCCTAGCAGGAGGTTCCGCTGGTTTCTGGAAGGCTCTCGAAGGCTCTCCACCCCCGAACAACGGTGGCGGGTCCAAGCCCTTTTTCTGTGAGGCAAGCTTGGGTTTCTTTTCAGGGCTCTCGACATGCTTCTCTCGGCGAGGCTTAGACTTAGGTGTTCCTAAGGCTTGTTCAACCCCCTGCATCGCAGACTGAAGAGCTTGTTGGGGACACGGAGCTGTGGGGGGCCGGGTGTTCACTGCTGGGGCGAGGGCATACGGGTTGAGGTTCGGGACTGTAAGCTCATCAGCCTCTCCTTTAGCAGCTTTCAGTGCCGCCGCTGCCTCGCTGCATCTCGAAGAGCCTCCTCTCGGGCTCTGGCATCCTCCCTGTTCAGAGCATGCATCACAGGAGCAGGTGGGGCAACAGAGGCAGCAGCAAGGGGGCTATCGTCATCGGTCTCCGCATCATCCCCTAGGGCCTGCGTCGGGGCATCCATCAAGGCATCACCATCAGTCACCGACATTTGTTGGGGCTTTGGAGGCCTAAGGACAGCGGGAAGGGAGCGCTGTGTGTGTTTCAAGGGGCTCTTCACACTTTCAACACGGCAATTTCCAGGCTTGAGCCAAAATGCCGTAGGTTTAGGGTTTAAGGTTTAGGGTTTTTTTCCCTCTTCGCATTCAGGGTAAGGGGTTTAGGGTCTAAGGTTTGGGGATCTTTGGGGTTTCGTGCTTCGGGGTTTAGGGTGAAAGGTCGGGGATCTTTAGGATTTAGTGTTTGAGGGTTTTGGGTTTCGACTCGCACACTCGCTCAATGCAGCCACGGCTTCATGAGGTTACCGCCACTACCGTGATATACGAGCCGGCAGGTTCATAGCGGGGTCAACAGAAGTAACAGCTCAAAACAACAAGTGATATATACACCACATGCTCATAAAGGTGCCAACTCGGCTCGAGGTTGCGGCTGCCGGCTGCTGCGTGCCAGTATCGTACGGCAGCTCGGAGGATAAGATTACGACAGCAGCTTTCATCAGACACATCTCACACTGTCAACACACGCAGCCAGATTGTGGCCAACTGGCCAACTAGCTTCCAAAGTCTACGCTGAGGGATAGAGCTGTTTCAAAAGACGATCTCCACAAGGGCTAGTGAGAGAGTCAAGCCATGCCCGTAAATTCGCTCGTGGTGCTCGAAAGACATTAAAGTGTCCGTATACGCAAATACTGCAGCAGTGACATGCAGCGAACACGTACAGGTGGGTGGTTGTCAAAAGCAGGTTGCCGTCGGACAGCTATTAGGACCCTATTAAGGGTAAATTAAGGTACCCATAAGGTCTAATAGCCCATAGTGATACCAGCGCAAAGACCAGGTCGAGCAAGATGCACTACGACTGACCATCATCGGCCTTGCAATCATATCGGTATCGTCACCGAACGCTAATTATCCCCATCGCAGAAAACAACCGACCCTGCATGACACCGCTGACACCACATGGCGGTATCGGGGTTCATGGTCGGTTTGAGGGGCGTGGAGTGGAGCGGATATGCCTGCGGCTGGAGGGGGTATCGAACCGCACCTTCCCGCCGTAGCGTACCGCATACAATGCAATCGCTAACAACAAACCGATCGACCCGAAGTGTTACAACCATGACTTCAAGTTTTACTCAGCATAGGTGGCCGGATCCACAAGTAAACACGCAACCTTGTAATATAGAGGCCATAATAATAGGAATAGGGTTTTGGGGCCCATTATCATACTATACTTATAATAAGAACCTCCCCCCAAAAAAAAGTATAGGTGCTTGTTAAGGCCCCTATATAGTAAAACAAACCATGTCAAAGACAGCTGGAAACCCTGCACAAACCTACTATCACCCGACAGAGAATGCATCGAAACCCTTGTAAATTCCAGTACACCCCCTATGAACCCCGTGAAATCCCTACAAGAACCCTAATTATTCAAAAACCGTATGAAAGTGCTATAAAACCCACTTCTGCTCCGAAACTCACAAAAACACCCCCACACACACAGAGGCGGGTTCTCCTCGTCGTCCGTGTCTGGGGGCATGGGGTAGGCCTGCGAAGTTTCGCGTTCGGGCCTTCTTAGAGCTTACCTTAAGCCGGAATAACCTACCTGTTTAAGGATTTGTATAAGGAAATCATAGTAAGGAACCCTCGAAAGGTAGGTTTTCCGGCTTAAGGTAGTGTTAGTGTTCACTACTTGCTTTAAGGGGGAGAGAGGAGGAGTTGAGGGCCTTGGGTTGCCGGACTCGGACTTGATTTGGGGCAGCCTGGGGAACCCTGAACCCGAAACCCACATAATGACGGAAAAAGGTGCAAAACAGGTAGAGTTCAGCCAGCCACCTTGCTAATGCGACGGCGATGTCGTAATGGCAGAAACGTACGGAACATGCTCTTCCTTAGCTTGCATCCCCTAATGCGACAAGACAGCAGGTTAGTTATGACCAGCATTCAAGCCTATAAGTCTGCAAGCCCCTAGTAGTAGCCTTTGGGATTGTCATCCACCACAGACTAGGACTACTATGCGACTAAGGAACCACCCCAGGGCTTCCGGGGAGTTCACACTATGAACATAACTCATACAATAGACCCATTTTGGGAGACTGAGGAACAATGACAAGCCCTTCATGCTCCGTCTTAGGCTGCCGCGGCCCTCTGTCTGGTTCTTAGTAAGGAATGGGGGAATGGATCCCTGTAGTTAGTTGCCCCCGTATAATCCCCATAAATAGTCCACATAATACATTCCCCCATTCCCTACTAGGAACCAGACAGCCTACTAAGAAGCCTTATATTATAACCCTTCCAGTAACCCATATAGTAACCCACAAAGGACCCCTTTAAAGGAACCCTATTCCCTACTAAGAACCAGACAGTCCTTCTCAATGTTCCTCATTCGCGTGGACTTGATGTCAAAGGCGGAGGCGACAATGCAGATAACGCCGAGGATGCAGGACACATAGCCGGTCTGAGTCGCCAATGATCCGAAACCCAAATGCCAATCAAACCCTAAGACTCCATGTGCCTGTATAGTAGGCACTTAGGCCTTAAAGGGGTCCCTAGATGTACTTTAAGACCTAAGTACCTATACTGTAATATGGGAGTAGTAAGTACATGGAGACTTTGGGAACGGGTTCCAAAAAAAGGCTTTTGAACATCAGGGCTTGGGATTTTACGATTTCGTACCTATACCCTGAAACCTTTCGGACTCGCCGGATGAGGCCAATGGTTCGCAGTCGGTCACAAGACGAAGGTCAGGAGGGAGACTGTATGCACGATCCCTTCCAAAACCAGGGAGAACCGGATAATCAGTAACTTAGGCGTTCGCTTTCGGGGCTGCCTGGTGGCTTTGGATTATATTAAGTCTTGAAGTTTTTAGGATTGAAGGGTGATTTCTTTAAGAAGGGCTACATTGATGATGCTGTCAGACGCCGTCGGACGGGCGGTACATGTAACGCAGTATGCACCTTAGTTGGAGTTATTTGTAGCTATAACTATAAGTTACCTTATTTATAACCCTAGTTACCAAGTCCCATGATCCTCCAAGTACACCTGACTCTCAGCAGCTACTGCCGAGTTTGACCGGAAGGGCAGGACAGGCCCAAGAACATGTCCGGCTTCAGGGTTGATTTGTGGATTCCTTCCAGGCTCATCTATGTATGCATATATGTATATATGTATACACATGTATTACATATATATATATACTATACTATACTATACTATCTTATACTATGTTATGTATATCATACCATATTACATTATATGGTTTTTAACTTTTAGATTAAATTAACTGATAGTATGTTATATTTTATTTTATACTTCAAGGGTTCCTTCCGGCTTTCAGGTTTCCAGGCTTTAAGCTTATAGGGTCACAGGATTTGGCACAGGCACTGGGATCAAATACCTGTTCTTGCAGGCGGGCCTCTGCATGCATGCTTGGTACGGAAACCGGCAAGCAGCACGACCCGAAATCCTTGACAACCTGAAAAGTTCTTGTAAACCCTTAGCAGTGGATTTATCCTTGCACGCCCTAGAAGTATATAAGCCCTTATAAACCCAAAGCGCCAAACTAATCTGAAACCTTGGAATCGAACCCTCAGCTCGCTAGCCTGAAAGCTGCAATGCAAATTTCCGATCAACAAACCCAACTCATTACCGCTCTTAGTGAGGCACATCAGGGATCCGAATATTCGGGCATTTGCAAGAAGGGAGTTTTTTAATCAGGAGTGTACATACATTCCTGAAGCCCTCCGTCACAGCCGGGTATCCACAACACCCAACTTGCCGCAGTAGCCGAAGTCACCGACGAAGCCCTGGACGATGAGCCAAATGCCGTACTGCCTGGGTAAAGTCTTTCTAGGGCTCCTTTAAGGGATCCTTTAATGAAGGGTTCGTTTAAGGGATCCTTTGATTAAACGTTCCTCTATAAGGGGTTCTTTAAGGGGTTGGTTTGGGGATTAGGTTCGTGGTGTGGGATTTTCGGCACTCACACTCGGACAATCCAGGCGGTGTGGGGTTTTAGGGCTTAGGAAGTTTTGTGGTTGATCGTTCATTTTGCCACCCGCCCAGCTGAACAATGATAGTTCATGGAATTGAGGGTTCAAGGCTTTTGCGTTGAGGGCCCTGTAGACATGATTCCATTTAACAAGTATAGGCTGTGCATGGAGCTGTGCGTACTTGACTTGGGAATATCTTCCTTTGGCTTACTCTACTTAAATACTTGAGGTACATGGTAGCGGCAGCAAAGCCCGCTTGACGACTTCTGTGCTTCTTTAAGTTGAAGGTCCCCTTTGCGACAGGCTTCTCTCGCACGGAACAGCCGTCGCCGTCAAGTTGAAGGTCCCTGTTCTGCTACTGGAAAACCCTGGACCCGAGACCACTTCTTGCAGGTTTTGGTGCTGAGACCTCAAGGCTTAAGGTTTACGGCGGGACTTAACTCTTTGCTAGACTTACAAGGAAAGCCGTCACCACGAGATTCTGACCTCCCTTCAACTGATGGGAGGCATCGCACGAAGGCAGGCACTCCCGGTAGCAGGAACACGAATCTGACTAAGATCGGGGAAAGCAGTTTTGAAGCCAAGCTGCAGCATGTTACGCGGAAAGCCGACAACCTGTGCCATGCGGCTGAATCCAACCACGAGTGGCGATAGAACAGTGGCGCGTGCGGGTTCGTGGCACTAGGTTACAAGATGTGTGGGTGCAGAAGCAGCAACCTGGCGAAAGGAGTAACAGCCCTCACCTGCGAATAAGGTTTTTGGGCCCATTATACTATAACTATAATAATAAGGAACCCCCAAAACAATATAGGTAATTATTTAAACCCCTTATAATACTGTCCCCGGCTCCCAGACCCAAACCGACCCTAAACCCTACACCCACCCCTACACAGAACAGTGTTTCGATCCCTTTAAGGAACCCCCCAACTCCCAGACCCAAACCGACCTCGAGGGTCTGCGGCTGATACATCGCCACACCGATTATTCCGATGATCAGCGCTGTGTAGTTGGGCAGAGCGGTCATGCCCCAGCTGGTCTGCCACCTAAGGTTTCGAAGCTGCCGAAACTGGGTTCTGGTTGAGGGATTAAATTTCAGCTGCCATACTAGTTGGTTTCAGTTGCCATACTAAGGAAGCCATGGTTCCAGCAGGTCTGCCACCTCAGAGGCTTTTTTGCTAGGTTTTTCTAGAAAAACCTGGTAGCCCCAGCTGGTCTGCCACCTAAAGGGAAAAGCCATTTTAAAAGAACTGAGGTACTTGTAGGCTCTTGTAGGTAGGTTCCTAAACACCAGATGGTCTGCCACCTAAGAGGCGAGGTGCTGCCGAAACTGGGTTCTTTAAAAGGGGACTTACTTTCAGTTGCCATGATATGTACTACAGATCCCTATTATGGTAACTTAAAATAAATTCCTTAGACACCTCCAACTAGCAGTTCAGTAGCTGAAACGTCTCCTGGTCCTAGTTGTGATGGCTACGCATGGGCATAATCGCCATGATACCCGAAACTTAATTGGTCCTGCTGTTGTGAAAGCTTCCTGCAACCTATGGTTCTACCGCTGCGGGGGCAAGGCTTTCAGGTGGAGTTGAGAGGTCCTACTCCTACTACATCCTACTACTATAGGGGCCGGTAGAATTAGGACATGGTTTAACAACTGCGAGAAGAAGGTGTTGTGGCAGAGCTTATATACCAGAACTGGAAGATGCTAGAAGCATACACCGCCAGTGTCATAATAGTGTGCTTCAAGAAGCAATGCCATCAGAAACAAGCGAAACCCAACTGCAACTCAGGCTCTTGTTGTTGCAATCGACCCACAAGGTGTACTCATCCGGGTTCGACCATGGGCAGTCACTCCACCTTTCAGCAATGCAGCTTGCAAAAGCACCACACATGCTTACCCGACGATATCAAAGCCCTTCACAACCGAACTTGAGGACCGCCGCCCTAAAAACTCCGATGGACCTAGCCAGAAGACATGCATGTAGTTCTTGTTCAGAACTATGGCAACTCAGACCGTCAGTGCGTAGAACTGCTAGATGAGCTCCTGCTATTTCACGGGTGCATTATGGGGCAAATGTGCACTAGATATGTGCAACAAATACACGACGACGCGCAGGTTCATTCAACACGAGCCTCGTCAATCCTTCAGGGTTCCCCTGCGTTGCGTGACAGATTCCTTGTGTAAACTAGCTGGACGAAGCCACAAGCAAACGCCACATACATGCAGTCTGACCAGGCAAGCATACCAGGTACCCTCAGGCGATCGTCCGGACAAATTTCACATGCAAACCAAAGGGCGCGTATGGATCATGCATGCTTGTATTAGTTAAATGGAGCGACAAATAATTTTATGCAAAATTCATGCAAAGACAGATGTGAAAGTCTTAAGCCTTAGACACGTGACCCATAAACCCGCCCATGTGGATCCATGAAGCTTCCTCCAAACCTTAACCGGGATTCTGTTGTAACCGAAATAACCCATAATAGTTTCTACAAGGACACGAGATCCAATACAGCAAAAACATAGCAGTAGAGGTTGGTGTGTTGAAGGCTCAAGCAACCAGTGAGCTGAGTAACTTGCTTACATCGGGGTCTATGCAGATGCCAGGAAACATGCCGAACTCCGAAGCGAACCCTACCTGGAACCTGAATAACCTACCTTCTTGAGGACTCATTTCGGTTTAGTCGAGGATAAGGAAGTCATAGAAAGGAACCCTCAACAAAAAGAGCTTCTTTAGGACTTTAGGGTCCGGGTCTAGGCAATCCTTGAAGCCGCAAGCTCAGCCGGGAAACTTCCACTCGAAGGATGGCGGCTTTGCCGCGGCGTAGATCAAGCCAATAATAACGGTCATAACCTTCTTTGAGGGGCGCTGCATGTGGGTACCGGAAGAGTTACCAAGTTTATTCCGTAGGCTTCCATCATATGACTAGACTATAGTATAATATAGCTCACAATACTAATCCAACATATTCTGACTAGTAAGGCCCCTGTATTGGGGGTAACACATTTTTCTTTGTTGGTTCGGGCTCAGGGTATCGGGTTGTTGCCGCCCGCCTCATTAGGATTATAGCTTGTGCTCTCATGAACTCAAGCACCAAGAAAGGCGGGTTCTCGTGCATTCCTGAAGTGCCAGGAAGGGTTCTGGTTTTGTGCGAAAGGACCGGAATTGCTCGATACCAGCAGACGCTGACCTAGCTGACAAGTTCAGTTCAAGAGGCTCATGGCCAATTGATGTCCTGTCAAAATACTAGTTGGGCTACCTGCCAGGCAAGTTGACGGACGAAAGTGAGGCTACAAGCGAGTTCTAGAGTCCGGGGCCTTTTGCTGCTTTGGATGCAGCCGTCTCGAGTTGGCGAAGGCGAGGATTACAGCAGTTCCCGAGAGGCAGTTCCCCTTCGGTTATGCTTTCATGAAGTCTCGGGCTCAACAAGCCAAGCTGTCGAGAAACGCACAGTCTCCGCAGATGAAATATATGTTCGATGCTCTACTAGTCGTGCCCTTTTGCTTCCTGGATTCCCAGACAAAGTATCAATGGAAGCCGAGCTGTATAAAAGCAGACCCCGAATATGGCTAATGAGCACAGCTGCGGATACCAATGTGCCGGCAATAGCCAAGAAATCTCCCGTCGCGTACCTGCAAAAACCGGAGGTCTTAGACATTTTTGAACTCTTTGTAGCTTCAGTATGACAGTGCGGACCGTGGCCATTGTCCCAAGCTGCTGCTTGGCGGTGGCGATGACCCAGACTATTGCCATTGTTGTTGCTCTCGTGCCCACTGTTGCGACAAGGACTGGTACTATAGTATAGGGGCCTTAATACTTAGAAGAGGGTTTTGGGTGTATATTATACGATAACTGTAGTAAGGAATCTCCCCAACATAGCAAAAAAATCTTAAGGCCCCTATAGTAGGGTTAGGGGACTCGGGGTTCAGTTTTGGGCCTTCGTGGTTATCCATGCAAGCCTTGTGCTTTCCCGCAAACACGAGGGGTGGATCGGTACAACGCAATCAAGCATACTTGGAGGTTCATGGGGAGTTAAAAGTGGGTTATTAAAGTAACTATAGTTATGAGGGGACTTATAACGCCATGTATAACTACCCATGAACCTACAAGTAGAGACCTGTGCGACGAGATTCGTCACAAAGCCTACCGGAACCTGATGCAGAGGCAGAGGAAGCAACAGCACAAACACACACCATCACACTCTTCCAACCACCGGAGGATGTGCTCTCCGTGAGTGGTACTTACTGTAATGATGAACGACGAACATCGTCTCGATGTGATGAACAATATATGGGTCGTTCTCTACGGACTCTGCAGTAGGGTTCAGGGTTTGATAGAGGGAGGGTTTAGCAGGGTTTAGGAAAACAGAATTTGTTTAAGGGTCCCTTTGAACAATGAACAAGAGCCCACCCTGGCATCCGATGCTTTGCCATCTCCCTTTTGAGACTCCGAAGACAGGAGCTATAGAACTCCTCAAAAGCGCCAGGGTCGCCTTTTTGCCATGCTTTCGGAAAGAAGCGGGAGAGGCCGAGGAAAATTGCGGGACTTGCTGCTCCTTCTCTCTGGCTGAAACCCCAACGGCAGCGGAGCCAGATGAAAGTAGACGGTTTCGACATGTCACGACTCTCACACTCGACTCACGTTACTGGATACAGTGTTTCGGGACTTCGCCTAGTGGTGCCGAAATGGCGTGGATGCCTCTGAGATGCGAAGTCAATACCTCTTTAGATCCTGACCCAAATTCAAAACAATCCCACCAACAATCGAAATTCAATTGGATACATGTGGGATGGGATTCGACTGCGTGCACTGCATCCGAGAGACCCCACAGAACCCTCATAGAAACCTATATGCCCGAAAGAGAACGACGCAGAAACCAACGCCTTACAAACTTATTGCGTATTTTGGGGGTATATTACAGTTTCATGATACAAGGCCTACAGCTACAAAAGAAAATATACCATCCATTCCGACCTCGAAAGCAAACCTCGAAAGCAACCTACTAACAACAACAACCAGCAAACTATATAGCCCAATAAAGTCCGACCAAACCTCCATTATTGAGTCTGGACATTGCCCTAAACCTTCTGCGAACGGCCCTAGACCTAAACCCTGAACTCCTAGAACCTAAACTCCTATAGACCCTAGGCCAACCACGCGAGGCCGGTCAGATCCCCGAGATTCGAGGGTCTTGCTGGTCGGGCTGCGATGGCTCGGCCTTCACGGGGCTCTTCAGTAGCTGGGGCTATATAGGGTTTAGGGTGTATAGGGTTTTAGGGTTTCGGGCTTCAAGGCTTAGGGGTTTAGGGTTTTAGGGTTTAGGGGTTTAGGGTTTAGGGGTTTAGGGGTTCAGGGTATAGGGTTTAGGGTTTTAGGGTGTGCAGGGGGAGTTATAAGTGGGGTGAGAAGTTCCCTAATGTGGCTTATAACTGTAGTTACCTTGCTTGTAACCCCACCTATAACTCCCAAGTTGTTGGGGCTGCTGTGGCATTTTTTCCCTCCCGCATGGCTGGAAATCTGCAGTGGTATGCGGCTTAGGGTTCTGGGATGAGGGACTGAAAAACATTACTGTAATGTTGTTGTGCTCTGCTGTTGCGCGCATCTTGAGCGAGTCACACCCATCACCCGTGGACAGCGTACACCGGCAACAAATGTGGAGTTCCATGACAACTTTACCACAAGCATAGACTGTCTGGTGCTTAGTAGGGAATGGGGGAATGGATCCCTGTAGTAGTCCTTCTAAAATCCCCAATAAGAGTCTCCATTTCCTACTTAGAACCAAACAGTAGACGAGCATCTGAAAGCATGCCGCGGGTTGCCGATCTGTCATGTTCCACCTGATCGAAGTCTTATGGAGTAAACGACCTATCAATACAAGCACTGATCAGAAATTGAAAATTGATCCTTGGAGCCTCCCTGAACTCGACCCGCCTAAACACTTTGCTGGAATCCCGGAGCTCTTTCTCATTCCTTTTGGCTTCATGTGGTCGTTGTCCGCTTGCCCGGGTGGCCCGACATCATGGCTTCCCTTTCATTTTCTCTATAAGTTTGGACATGGGGCTCTGTGTCATCCTACGAGTGCCATTTCCGGCAAATGCTGGGCTAATTCAGGGGGCACCAAACTTGCGGTTCGGCCTCTGAACCCTGCGGTCCCTTCTCGTTCAGCTGTGCGGCAGCCTGAGAAAGTTGTCGGAAAAGCTAGGCGCTGGAGCCAGGTTTATTCCTTCGTCTCGCATGATAGCTTGCAACAGCTACAGCAAGTGCGGCAGGTGGCTCAGGTGGCTCCTCTCTGTCCTTCTCACCGGAATGCTCCGGTTATCAGCAATTGATTAACCAAGGCTGTCTGAGATCCAGGCTGCCAGAAGGATCTGCTTCAGCGCATTAGACTCGACGGTCACCGCACTTTCTCCTGCGAGCGGTGAGTCTCCCGGCACCAGCAAAAACTGACTGCCATTATATAGCAGCCCCTGTGTGGGTGAGTCGCATGTGGAGTCTCCCAAGAATGGTATGGGCCGAGCCCAGCCACCCAACAGGCATAGAAAGCCTGCCCGATGCCCTTGACCTTGAACCCGTTGGTGCAGTGGGAGGGCCTTACAGCTTGGTCAATGATTCGGAAGCCAGGACCAGCAATTCACCGTAATTGTCGGCTTGTCAGCAACATGTCGAGGCAAAAACGAAAGCCAAAAATACCCAAAGACCGGGTCCTTTGCCATTGTAGAAGGCTGTCCGCACGGTGCTGTACGCCTCAAGGTATCAAACAGACAGACAGACAGACAGACAGACACAGGTATATAGACAGTTGTTTGAGATGTCATCATCTCAAGCGTCCACAACTGAGAACTGAGAGGAAACTTCTGTTCAAGACCTTACAGCCCCCGAAGACCATGCGCAGCATCACCCTAAGCCCTAAGCACCTGAAGGTGCACCGCCATCAATGGTTTGACATGAGCAGCAGAGACCAGAATACAAAACAGCACAGCACAGAGTCGTGCCTTCTTGAGATTGGATTGCACTTCACCTCACAAAGCGTCGGCCGCAAATTCTCTAGATGGTTTTAGATAATCCCTTCCCCCATTTATTAAACACCCTCTAATACTAAACATGCTTCCCGCCCGATCCTCCCGAAATCATCCCTGCCCTTTGAAACCTAATTATTTACAATAAGGGGTCCGGAGCAACAGCAAGAGCAGGAGTAAGAGCAAGAGCAAAAGCAGGAGCAAGAGCGACAGCAAGAATAAGAGCAAAAGCAGGGGGAGAGCAGAAACAATAGCAAGAGCAAAGCAATAGCAGGAGCGAGAGCAAGAGATGTAGCAAGACCAGGAGCAAGAGCCAGAGCAGGAGCAAGATCCCTCAAAAGTGACAGTAGAGATAAAAAACACCCTTATGATAAAAACACTTTCCGAGTTTGTGTTGGGGGGAAGGGATTGACTTGTTTCGGCATGTCGCGAATACTACCACCGGGACATGAAAACAAAGGGCTGAAGAAAAACGGCTGCCTCCACTTCCCGAAGCCATGGCGAGGCGCACCAGGGGCAGGGAGCAACTAACGAGCAGCTGCGAAACTATCAAGCTTATTGGGTTTGCGTAGATCCGAAACCCTGCGACTCGGAGTGGTATGCTCTTTAAACTCATGGTGCAGGCTGCATTCACAAGCCGATCTCTGTGTGCCACTTCATGAAACATGCATGCATGAGCTGGGACCAAAAGAACAAGTCAGTCCAAGAGTATGAGCCCAAGTCCTACACCGAAAAAATCGTGTAGGGCTTCTCAACCCATGGCTTGCCGGTGGCTGCAGGATGTCCCCTGCAAGCAAACACGAAGCGCGAGCAAACATGTGAATGTAGTGATACATAGAATACCTAACACAAACATGTCTCGCAAACGCACACGCACCAAAACATGGGGGGTTGGACCAAAATCTGCGGCCACAGCCGCTGCAAACGTCTTAGGGGACTGTATCAAGGAGCAACTTGCAGTCCTAGACCCTCCATCTACAGTACCCTCTATTAGACCCTAAATGCCCACTATTTGGGACCATATACCGGCACAAGGAGGGTCCTGGGTTAACGGGTCATGTCACATCGAAACAACTCCGCGCAAAGCCAGTCTTGAGACTGAGAAGCCCCCCGGAACCAGAAAGGACCCCCTCAGAGGCAGAACACTTGTCCAACATCTGATGCTCACCGTCGTCCTCAATTTCGTGTCTACATATTGCATATATATCTCGAAACCGAGCCATGCCAGGTCTTGGATCCGACATGCATCCGACCACAAGAGGATTCGTGCAAAAGGTCGCGTGGGGCTTATGTCTACGCGACCTGTGCACATGAATCGCAACTTCTGGCTGCATGCAGCCTAAACTACGCAGGCGTTTCCTGAACAATGCCACGGTCCTGCAGGTGGCCCGCGGGCCCACGTGGCTGTGGGCCGCAGGACTGACAAAGACAATGAAGGGAGTTATTTTACAAAAGCTAAGGCTATCCAAATCCGATGTTCCTGCATCAACATGCCGATGTTCCTGTCGTGGACCGACGCCGCCGACATGGACTGTCAGAACACCTGCCCGTCGGAGACCTGAACAGCAACGACCCTCCAAATCGACACGTTTGAGCATGAGCATCACACTTCACTTCCATATTCCGTCCTATTCCAGGCGCCTGCATCTAAATGAATGTTGACCAGTGCTTACGGTGATGGGACGCATAGCTTCGAACACAAACACAAGCCAAAGTGGAAAGCCCTGTTTGCATGCGGCTTTATTCCTGGGGGCACAACCATTTTCGAGACCGTGGAGTGCAGCGGCCCATAGTAGCTCCTGCAAAGAAACACGGGTAGCAAATGTTATTACTTTTGAGAGCCTGCGACACTCTTTGCAAGCCGCTACTCCCAAAGCCGTTGCAGTCGTCAAGTCATGACGTAGCTGCAGGCGAATACGGTGTAAGGGACCGTTCAACTACACTTAATTACCTTCTTCCTGCTATACCGATGCAGTTGCACCCAGCGATGTCTTGCAGGAGTGGTGGCAGTGGTAATTGAACTATAGTCCGACTAGAATCTGCAATTACATAACACCGCCTCGACGTCACGGATCAGTTGCGCGCGGGACGAACAAAAGCATGCTGCATGGCGGCAAGTGTCCAGTTGCCATCACTTGGCACGCCAATCTGCTGCACCCGCCAGTCGACCGACAATTCGTCTTTCACGGCACAGCACAGCACGATCGCCTGGACAACACACTGCGTGGTCAACCTCTTTTACGATAGTCCGCATCAACTAGCCCTCCAGGAATATTGTTGCAGAATTGAGAGCGTCCTGGAGAAACAAGGGCAGCAACAAAAACGAAACGAAGATCCGATGCCATCTGAAACCCGTGAACTGTAACACCCTGAAGCCAATGTTACACCCTGCCTGACTAGAGCCCACCATTTCTCTTACGAAGTTTCCGGGACAGAACAGGTTCCGGGAGCCTCAGGTATAATCTACTACTTCCATGACCTCCTCATCTGCAAATCGACGATTTGGCGTGTAGCTTGCCAGCATCTCTCCAGAGTCCGCATTCTGCAAATGTACTGCTGGATCCTCAAGGCAGTTCGTGGGGTTATGCCATGCTTGCCGTAGGAATTCTCTAGGGGCTACCCAGTTTGCTGGTTAAGGCAACCAGAAAGCGAAACCACGCAGGCAGAGTGTTATGGAGTTTTGGGCCAAACCATCTTTTGAAACCCAACTGCGGGGAGTCAGCGGCAGGGGCTCTCCATGCTCATGATCCCCCTTTGCATTTTTCCATCTTACATACATCTACCGGCCGTTCTGTCCTAAAAAGCACAGCAAACAGGCCTGGAAGCTCGAAAGAGTCACCCCACCAGGTGCATAGGCGCTCAGAGTGAAGAAGAGATAGCGGCACTCAGATGGAAGTCCCGCGGTGTCCACAGTGACGAACTGTCTCGGATTGCATCTGGTAGACCTTCCTCTGCAAAGCTGCCCGCAAACGTTAAAGACGGGGCCTTACTTACTGTAAAAGGGGGGACGTGATATCGAGTGACAAAAAATGACAAAAATTCAGCTGTCCTGCATGAACGATGCCTGCAAAATCCGTTCTTCGAAAGTCGACACTTGCCATGACGTTGCACCAGCTGTCCAGCACAATACAAGTACCATTGAGGTGGAGCGGTCTGTTTGAATCTGGTGCCATCCAGCTGAGCTCGAAGCTGAGCCTCCTGATCGCAAGGCACACGATTTGGGGTTCACGGGGATTCAACTCACTGTCGGAACCAATTCTGCGTGTTGAGAACGAACCCCTTGCTTAGGACCTACTAACCCGACTCCCACACTCGCATGCAGCAGGCGAGGCTCCACTCTTCAAGGCTAAGTAGCAATCAGGAGCCACTCTGACATGATAACCCGAACCTTGCTGCGCCCATGCAACCATCCGGAGAGAGACCGGAAGCTCCCAACCGCCACGACCACACACTACAGGGCTACCCAAACAAAGGACATCCCAGGACTGCTTCACAACATCATACAGACTCGACTCTCAGCAGACAGTTAGCAAAACACCGAAACAATGCTTCCGAGCCCGTACGAAAAAGAAGGGGGTTGGGGTTTAGCTTCAGGCAGACCCTCCCTGTCACACCTCACAGAAGCATTGGGCCCCGTCTCGTACATAATGATGACCAGCTGGACAACCTGTCCAGCCACCAGGCTAGCAAAGGTCACGGAAGCTTTCGGATGAGACGGGTGCACAGGAAATCTAACGATGCTACTGTACTGAAACGACGTGTGCATGCGTGCAGACACACACACACACACACACACACACACACACCGTCGTCACGGAAGAGACAATCTGGCAGAATGCCCCCCTCACGAAGGAACCAGGCCTGTCCGAAAGGCACTCCGACCGATCCCCACAGCGGATCGGTGTCCTTTGCCTTCGCCTGAAGTGGGGAAGCTGCTGTAAAATGCTGCAAACCGCATAAATGCAATGTGACTGTGCTCAGTGCGATGATTGACAGCTACAAGGTACTTTCGACAACTTTTGAACTACATCAGTCTACTTCACAACTGAATTCATCCACTTGTATCAAAGCCTCTGTGCTCAAGGACCAAACAAGCAACGGCGAAAAATCCCTCGCTGCCGCGTCTTGCGGTGGCATGGCCAACGAGAGGAGCCATGCTGGAAGTGGGGCAAACATGCGTCGAGGAGTTTGTTCACCAAAGGCATCGCTAGTATAATAGGCAGACGAAGACACGGAGCATATGCGAAACTGGACGGTCACCACCGCGGCGGTTGAGATTGCTTTTCTGAAGGCCACGGGCATGAAAGCCCAAACCGTTGACCTGTCACTAAGCCGAGTTCGTGGAGGAAACCCTTGCCGGACCAGTGGCCCCTAGATCTTGTCCACCGAAGAAAAGCCGCTGCTTGCCTGACAGCGGAGGGCGGAGGGATGCATGAGCAAGAAGTTGAGTCAGCAGGAATGACAACTTCCCATTCGCTGTCATGAACACAGTTCGGTCGCAAGACACCATGATCTCCGTCTCCATGCTTCTGTGTACCAGTAGGGTTCATCGAATATCTCAATTCCCATCTTCACAGTCGCGAGCCGACGTAGCTGGTTCCCGTGCCTTCCGCCACGCCAGAGCGCGATGTGATTCGCCTCTTGACCTCACTGAGCCGCATCCTGCGTGCCACTGACCTTGGGAGCGATGGATTGAATTTCAGATGAGTCTTTCTCCGCCCTCGGCGCATCTCTACTGTGTAAGTGGGTAGTTTGGGATAGATTGACGTCAGCCTTCCTTCTAGCACCGTAACAAATTCGCTAGACACGGCCCGTATCAGTCATGCCGGAGCATCCGCAGCTTGCATGTCGTTTCCAAGATGCCACAATTGCCAAGCAAAGACTACCAACTGCAGATCTGTTTCAATATTTTGCTCGAGCATTGAGAGTATGCGATGCACCAGCTCCTCTGTGTATGCACTGGCAGGACCCTGCTTGCCCACATCTGCGCATCTCAGCCAGGCACAGTGTATAGCGCGTGCCGTCCACAAGCGAAACCTGCTCGTGATTCTGCGGCCTTACTACGCTGGAAACATGTGGCAACTACTGGATGCCCGCGACTGTCGATATTACGACTGGGAGTTGGCAAACGGCAGCACTTGCTTTCACCAGGGTCGATGCACGATCGCCCTCGCCCTGGCCTCGCTCGCCCTGTTCCCGGCCCCAGTGGCCGTCGCGCTCGCGCTCGCTCTCCTCTCACATCTCTCTAGGTCTCTATCTCTCTCTATCTATCTCGCTCTCTCTCTCTCTCTCTCTCTCTCTCCAACGGACAAAGTGATGCGGACCATCTTCTGGCAAGCCCTACAAGCGTGTGAATTTCCGGCTATTTATTTGGAGGTACCCCACCCTAACATAAATAACCGCCCCGGCTATTCTAAATAGCCCCCGATTCAACTAAGCCCCCCCCCATCCGGCTATTGCTAGGGGGTCCCCATGATGCAGGTCTTCCTCGCATCTTGTGGCGTTGAGTTCTGGGTGGTTGTCAAAATTTAGGGTCCTTTTTGGGGTATCCTAAATAATAGGTGCCGTATTATAATAGGGACCCAAAAAAAGACCATAATTTTGACAGCCACCCACATGCAGCTTCGCCCATCCAAGGGCAGAGGCGCCTGAATAGTGCCCTCCTCAGGCTGATGGCTGGCCCCAGCCGGCGCCTGCTCGTTTCTGGCCTCACAAACTGGGACCAAAAAGGCGCTCACACTTGCAACCCGGAGCCCGAAACTGCAGAGATGGAGGACACTGACGAGTTCAAGGGAAAACTGGAAAACTTGCAAATTAATACGGCAAGTCAAACCTAGGTCTCTCACGCAGCTCCAGAAACCTGTCGGAGTGGTGGCCTGCTCCCCTTTCTGATGTAGCAGATCAAGCTCATGGAAGATGGCACACTCGCGGTTGCCTTGAATGCGCGGGCAGGCGAAAAGGCTTTGCCTGGTGTTAGTTAGCCAACGTCGGGGCCTTAATAATTATAACAGGGTTTTGGGGCCCATGATACTATAACTATAACAAGGATCCACAAAAAGTAAGTAGTATTGGTAATTATTTAGGCCCCCATATTATGATACTATAACTATCATAAGGAACCCCTAAAAGAGAGCTTCTCATCATGGCATCATCTTATAGACTTGGCCTCAACTCCGAAGCTTGCGGCCTTCACATCCCCATGATCCTTCGGATGACTCTTGACTTACAGTAGTTGCTGAGTTCATAAGCCCCCAAGAAAGTGTACACTTTCAGTTTTATAGTGGGTCATGATATCCCCAAAAATCTAAAGTGTATCCACTCAGCTACTAAGTCTTGAAGTCCGGGGGGCCATGCTTCAGTGAGCTCCTGATATTCTCGATGTCTTCCACGGACAGAGTTTCGTCGCATTCCAAGCACTTGCCTGCACCATGGCGGCTTCTTGGGCATCCGTCCGATTACCCTGCACACTGAACAAAGAATCATAAAACTGCAACACTTGAGCAAGTGAAAGCCTGTCAGGTTTCAGCATGGGTTTCTCCAAGGGTTTGCTGTTGCACCAGAAGCTGCCACACACCCCTCACAAACCCCCACCCTCACAGCTTCACAAACATTGCGCCCCATGTCACATGCTGACCTTGAAGCTTCTGGTCCGGCCTAGGCACATGGTTAATCCCGCCTACGGCCCGAAAACCACAAGGAGCGAGACTAAGCTACCCTCCACAAGACCTGAGCTGCTGCACCCAACACCTTCCCGACACCAGCCCACAAACCCTCGAGCAGCTATGCAAAACCACGAAATCGAAACCCTGAACCCTGCGCCCTCTCAGTTGGGCCTGGCATGCTGTCTTTCGGCAGGAGTTCATCCAGGCAAGTCAAGCATACACTTGGCGGATGTTTGCCTGCGGCGGGCCCAGTGCGATGTTCAATCATTTTGAACGAAGCGGGTTAGACGAATGCCGGCTGAACTTTCCCACGAGACACAAAGTGTCGCTAACCCTTTTGCAACTGGCTTGCAACGTCACGCCAGGACAGCTGACTCGCTCGCCAACTCTAAACCCTAAACCCTCACCAACTGCTGCCAGGGTCACACTTCGACAAGGGCTCCGGGAAGTCAAAGGAGCAGCGTTTGCTCGAGCATCTGCTGCACTGCATGGCCGAGGCTCGAAGATGGCAAACCCTGACCTAAACTCAAAGGGGAAAAGGAGGGACCCTTCATGGGGACCCCTACCCTATAATGGGCCATATATTGGGTATATAATAGCTATATTATATTATGGGTATATACCTAGGGATCCTGATTAAGGGTCGCTCCTTTTACCCTTGGATAAACCGCACCTCTGAACAGATCCCCAAAAACAACACCTGGAAACGGTAAGGTCCAAGGTTCTAGGCACAAGCGCCGGCCAACCTTCGAGGAAAGGCAGCATATTTCCGGAAGCTGGATCAGAGCTAACTAGCAGCATCGACGGTGCAGGTGAAGAAAGTTGTTTGTGCTCTAGCTCCAAGCCTTCTGCTTTATCGCAACTCCCTAACACCTTTGCCAAATGCACAGGCGCTACAAGAAAGGAGAATAACATGAGAAGAAATCAAGCGAAGACTGGAGAATGCCTGCACTGCCATTTTGGTATACGTTCCAAAGTGCTTCAAAGTTGACCCTGTGAAGACATGAAGAAGAAACCGCAGAACAAAACTCGATCTCGAAGTCAGTCTCCCGAAATCGGGGCAGGCCGGAGAACTCAGAAAAAGCGAAACGAGAACCATGAACGTCGATAACAAGGTCAGACTAACTCAGCAACCAGTCACAGCGTCTGGTGTTGGGCTTGCTTTGACGGTGTTTTCGACTTCTTTCTTGATGTGTGTGTGTGTGTGTGTGTGTGTGTGTGAATGTGTGTGACTTGTCTGCCTTTCTTGGCTTGTCTTCTTTTTTGTCCCTGGGAAAACCAGGAATTCCCAGAAATCGCAAGTCGAGTCCCAGAGGACCAAAGAGAAAGAGTCAGTGAACAATTCAAAAAACCAGCGCTCTGCTATGTCGCTTGCTTTTTCTGAGTCGGGAGTTGTTGCCCAGCCAACTGCGACGGAGACATGTTGTTGACTTGTTTGTCGCCAACACGCTTACCTGGCCGACTGAATAGCTCCTACCAGGTCCTACCATTCGCGGTATGCAACTCCCTCCCGTGGTCAAGGAAGCCTGAATGTATCAATCACGAACAGACGATCGGGGTGCATCGGAGCTCCAAACTGACTCGACATGGCAAACCGATCTCGGGTCTGAACAAACAAGCATCATGCAAGCATCACGCGAAGCTCTTTGCAAGCGGTCTCTTGCCGGATAAAGATTGTGAACAGGTAATGAACAGTTCCGCGCATGCTGCGATTTTTTCTTTCCACTATGCATGATTTGCGATGTGTTGCCCTCAGTCTGGCATTGACTCATACCCAAAACAGATCGAATCATAAACGGTCTTGGATCCCCGAGACAGGAACCCGACCACAAGAGGATTCCTGCACCAGGTTGCGTAGCTCTTCTGTCTGCGCAACCCGTGCAAATAAATCGCAACTTCTGGCTGCAGTCCTTTCGCCGAGCATCGAAAACACGGTAGTTCCAACTTGCCTGAACACTCCAAGTTCCTGCCTCTTCAGAGGCCAGAGGCTCTATTTTCTTGGGGCGACGCATGACTTTCACTTCCTCAGAACACCTGCCCGTCGAAGACCTGAAGAGCTCTGCAATCGAGGTTGGCAACTGGCAACTTTCTGCAAGCCAACGAAACTTGCAATCCCAGGCATTTCACAAAAATAGTAATATCAATAATAGTAATAAGAAGAAGAAGAAGAAGAAGGAGAATACGAATTTACGAGTAACACGAACGACAACAAATAATGTGGGTTTGACCAAAACCTCAAAAGTGTAAAACTTTAATGGAAGATCGAAAGACCATGCAAGCTGACGAGCAAGTGCAGCGTAAACCTGAAGGCAAAACCTAAACCCGAAGGCCCAATCTGTGCTTTCTGGGGAAAGTGCCATCTGCGAGACCGTGGAGTGGAGCGGCCCGTATGATCTCCTTGGTGCTTCCATATACATATATAACTAAATAAGTATATACACGTAGATTATATACATACACTCAAAAGGTGCACTAGTAATCTAATGCTTTTTACTATAACACTAAGAGTAAGCATGATAAGGCCTAGTGACGTTATGTAGGGCTCTCAGAATGCCGGGGTACCCCTTTTAGGAACGCGTAGGCCGCAAATCCTACCATTTCGCGGCTTAAGGTCCCTTACATTTTGGGACTCCCACTTTGAGTCAGAGTTTCAGAAAGAGTGAGCTCCAATAAACAACCGATGTGATAAGATCTTTAGCAGGATGTTTCAGATTTCATGACCCTTGAACTCATGTCTGGGCCCTGTACAAAAAGCCTCCATCCTGCCGAGTCCCTGCATGGAGCTACGCGATGGACAAGATTGTAAGTCTTGCAAGCAGTGGAACTTGAATGGAACACTGAGTGTCACCGCAGGAACATCCCACTGCAATGAGCTCAAAAGCAAATTGAGAGACGTATGAGTTGCTACGTTGGCAAGTGGCCAGTTGCCGGCACTTGGCACTCCAATTTGTTGCACACGCCAGTCGTCAGAGGATTTGTCTTTCGCTGCACAGCATAAAACGATCGCCTGGCCCACACAAGGGGGCATGCAAGTTTTGACTCTCAAAATCAATTGCCGTCATATTCACGGCAACCTGATCTGGGCACAAGCGCAAACAGAAACATGATGAACTGACCATGGGTGGCCTCCTCGTCTGCGGATCGACGGCTCGGTTTGTAGCTTGCCAGCGTCTCCAACGAATCGGCATTCTTCAAATGTACCGTGGGATCCTCCAAACAGCACAAACAAGCTCCCAACAAGTAAACTGTGCCAGGGCGAAACACGGAGGAATGATGTTTCCCCACGCATCTATTCCTGGCATTTCTGGGCGCTCGCAGGAAGTTGGACGGGCTGTTGGAGCAAAGTATCAACATACAGCCAGAACGTAACCCCGATCCCGGAACTCATAACCGTCGTACAACGACCCCGTGAGCAGCAAGCCTCGAAGCTCGAGAGTGTCGCCAATTCATTCCATAATGAGGCGCATAGGCGCTGAGGGCGAAGAAGAGATAGTGACACTCAGATGGAAGTACGTCAGTGTCGACAGTGACGAGCTGTCTCGGATTGAATCGGTGGGATCGTCCTGTCCGATATCATCGAGCGACCATACACAGACTGAGGCTCTGCACTTTCTTACAAATAAGTGGGCAAAACAGCAAGCACAGCTTTAGAAACTTCAGCTGTCCTCCGTGAGAGACGCCTGAAAAGTAGCGGCTTTGAAAGTCAACGTTTGCAAGGACATGGCCGCGGCTGTCCAACACAATGCACGTGCCGTTCAGGTGGTGCGGCTTTCGCGAACACGGTGGAGTCCAGCCCAGTTCAAAGCTCAGCTTCCTGGAACAAAACATGCCTTTGGCTAGATTACTACATCCTCCAGTCTTGGCTGTAGCGGCAGGCGCCATACGCCAGTGTTGCAAGGCGCTGCTGCGAATTGTGCACGTCGGGATCACGAACTATGTAGCGCCGCGTAATGCATGCATGAAGATGCAGTACTGTATTTATGTATTTCTCTCGCACTCTCTCTTCCTCAAAATCGGTGCTGGTCTCGCCTTACAGACGCATTGGGTCCCGTCTCGTACATAACGATCACCAGCTGTATCACCTGTACACAGCAAGCCATAACAGCCACTGACGCTTTCGGGTCTGCAAGTCAAGCCAACTCTTCCGACTAAACAGCACCTACTTAACCCTAAGGGTCCATGTATTCATATAGTATAAACATTGGCCTTAATGTAGTCCCTATATAGGTACTTTGGGGCTCATGTATCTCTATATGGGTGCATGGACCCTTAGGGTAAGAAGTACCGCATGCCTGCCCAAATGGCACTCCAACGGACCCCCAGCGCGGGTCGCTCTCCTCGCCAGTCGCCTGAAGTGCACAGGCCACATGCAAGTCCCCATGCGAACAGGAATCATAGAACTATGAACTATACTGAACTTAGAACCCTAGCAAAATTATAATTTTAGCTGTTTCTTAGGGATTGAAATAACCAAAAATTAAATGAGTACCCCTAAGGGAACACCACTACAACAAGTTGTTCATCCCACTTGGGGCACGTCCATCCTTCTTGATCTGTGCCGCCTTCCACGCCCCCCCATGGACGGGTGTGGCATTGCACTATACTTATTAGCTGCGATACTAGCGCTGTTATCCCAAGACCTCGTGCACTTGGTACACATCACGATCCGCCTAGGCATCCCCAGAATTGACGAATGAATATCGATAAGCAAAATTTATACGTAAATCCTGCCAATTAGGTATGCGCCTTGTGCATTGCGAGGACTGAAAGCCTCCAGCCAATCTCCGAAAGCATGCTACTGTTAAAGGCCCTTTGCCTTAAGCCATCCGCATCACGCTTCCTGAACTTCTGACATATGAAATATGTGCAAGGCCGATGACCGATAGATCTTGCCCGCGAAAGAAGAGTCGCTGCTTTCCTGCAAGAGCGCACCAACACTGAACATGAAAATTACAAACTGCACGAACCCATATCAACCCAGTCTAGCTGCCCGAAGAAGACTGAAGCCCGGCACAGCCTTCACCCTGGGGTTTTGGGGTTTATAGAGGCTTAAGGTTTATGGGGGTTGAGGGTTTAGGGACCTTTCCGGTTCCCAGTCCTTCCGCGATGCCGCAGCTCGATTTGATTTGCCTCTTGACCTCGCTGAGGCGCATCCTCCGCGAAACTGACCTGGAATCCGGTAGGAATGAAGAGGACATCTCCATAATCCCGTAATCAAGGAATATACCTTAAACCATATTAGGGATCCTATTATAGTTTAAGGTATATTCCTTAATTAAGGGATTTTGGAGGCTCTGGGAAGAGGACATCTCCACATTTTGAATGTAACGAAACCACTCAGCGACTGCCAACCCCCCCCCCCCCCCCCCCGCACGAGATGATTCAAACTTCTGTGGCTACACCTTGCCACAGCTGGCTCAGATGATCTGACGGTGCAGGACGAGCAAAGGCTAAAAGCAAGCGAGGCGCAGTGTGTGGCGTATGCCATCGACAAGCGCAACCTGCAAGCTTCATGCCGGCGGCTGATAAGCACAGGCCATGCGTCAAGCTTCTCAACAGAGGAGATCGCTCGAGTGACGGTGTCACAGCTGGCTGGCTAACTTGATACGGTTGCTCATGCAGGTGCACAGCATCTATCGTCCAGTTGGCAGCTTGTGGGTCAAGGCTCCGACGTGCTCCGATGTTGCCGCTATACATCCAATAGCAAAGCCACCTGAATCGTGCCCTCCTCGGGCTGATTGCTGAACACATCCAATTCTCGCTGGCTCCTGGCCTCACACATTGGGCAAGCAATTCGGGTTAGGCACAAACCAGCAAGCTCCGAGACATCTCGGTTGCACCGCACAGAACACGGCCTGCTCTCCTCTCTCACGTAGCAGATCAAGCTCGTGGAAGATGGCGCACTCGCGATTGCCTCAAAAAGTGCGGATCTCGTAGGTCACGTGTACCACCTTTTCATTCATCCCTTTCGGAAGCCCGCACACTCCTAGCCGTGTATGCCCCAAATCTCCAAACCCTTGAAACGGCGCTTGAAGGTCAGCTGCCATGTTTCATTGAGCTCCTGATCTTCTCCACATCTTCGACGGACAGGATTTCGTCGCATTCCAAGCATTTGCCTGCACAGTCATGACTGCCATGCTTGCCTGGCATCCGAACACCCGCGACGCCCTACGAGTAGAAGCCTGAACACGACCCCTTACGGTACAACACCCCCCACACCCCACACAACCCAGAAGCCTCCCTCCTGCCGCTACATAAGCAACGGAGTTTGGAAAAGCTTTGCTTACAGCATCTGTCAAAACCCATTATTATGAAAGCAAGGATCCGGGTAAGCATGAGCTTCAGACCTTTCAGCACACGATCATCAGGCGCTGAATCGCCACGATCTCGTGCCCTTTGCGTGTGACCCTTTGCGATAAGCTCGGTCCAAAATAACCAATCCAAGCCTCCAACTTGGGCCGAAAAGGGTAAGTTGGGCCGGGGTCGCGGTTTTGCATTCAATGGCTGGCCTGGCCATCTGCCGATGATTGCAAATTTGCCCGATGGATTCCCAGTCCCGTTGATCAAACTCGAGATGCAAGCACACATGACATGGCGTGTCCGAGGCATTCTCCAGAAGCCCTGGCAAAACTATACTCGAATCCCATCCAAATACCTTTGCAGCTAGAATCTGCCCCAAAGCCCCGCCATCTTCGTTGAGCCTGGCACGCTGTCTTTGGGCAGAAGCTGATCCAGGCAAGTCAGGCATACACTTGGCGGATGATTGCCTCCGCGGCCAATGCGATGTTCGCGGTTTCGGGTGGACGGACGTGGCTGAAATATCGACGCAGATATTTTCCTATTCCTGCGAAAAGGCCACTAACTCACTAACTGCTGCCACGGTCACACTTCGACAAGGCCTCCGGAAAGTCAAAGGAGCAGCACTTGCTCGAGCATCTGCTGCACTGCATGGCTGAGGCTCGAGGTTGGCAAACTTCACCAAAGCATCGAATTGAGCAACAAAAAGCACGACGCGTCTGCAACAGGAAACGAAACGATCCAAGGCAGAACTGTGCCGGAACCTATGATGAGAAGCACATTCTTTCACGGAAGCCGGATCAGAACTAGCACTGCAGTGATGCCGACCATCGGATTATACATGCTCCAGCTCCAAGACATCTGCTGTATCACACCGCCGCAATGACTCCCCAGCATAGGCTCGGGAACTGGCACTGTGGATGTTTGGATGCTGAGGCTTGAATCCATATTGGTGCATGGCATCATCCCTCTATCAGTACATTGTGATTCTCGGCCCATGGACACGATCAAACTACTACAATGACACACATTGCTGGTGCCGAGGGATGCGCTTCAATGCTTGTGTCTGTGCCAACAAGCTCTGCCCTGCCCAGCAAAACCTGGTTCTGAGGAATAACTGTCGCAGTCATCTCAAGATTGTCCAAGCCATGATTGTGGATCGCTAACTACGCATGTCGTATTTTTGTAATGGTTCAAAGGAGAGAGCTCACATGGCACGGCCCTATTGATACGACAATGCGTGTCTAGCAAATTGGATGGCAGCGTTGATGTGCTGCAACTGCAAGCCATCGAAAAGGCCAGACACTGCATCGGGTGAAACCGTAGGCACTTTCCTCAGCGCCGACTCTACAAAGTACTGCACCTCCTCTTCGGGCTTCCAAGATCGGCCCAGGAGGAGAAATCGCATCAATATCCGTTTCAATACATCTAAAGCCATGACGGCGGAGTCCCCATGCCATGCTTTCATGCTTCGAAGTGGGCACTTGAGGTCTGCGCAGAAGGTCCTCGCAAGCCTGTGCTGGTGCAATGCCTCTTCGGCCGCATGTAGCTCCGCTTCCTCGAACAAATGCACCAAATGCTTCACTTGGAGTGACCGACACTGCTCCTGGCTCACGAGGTGATAGAGATGCGGAGAGCAGGACTGCTGCTGACAGAACTCGGCAACAGAAAGTTCGGGTGGCGGGCAACAGCGACGGACGGAGGCAATGACTGCCTGCAAGGACTTAGACAGGCTGTCTGCAGGACCAGAGTCGAGAAGAAATTGTCGCGGCTCGTCGGGACTGAGCTCTTGCTTGACGTGTTCGCAGGCCTCTGCCAAGAACGTGTACATGTGCAGGAAAGCTTCACCGGCATAGGGAAAGTGCTCCACGGACTCTGCATCCAAGTAAACCGCCTTCTGCAGAACACCTTCTGCCAGGTGCTGTTCAAGCAGCTCCCAATCGAAGAGACAAGTGCTACCTGGAACTAAAAGATCAGGCCGATCCAGCTCCATCTGGTCCATGCGAAGTGACGTCTCCCATGCGGCCAATGCGCCAGCACTGCCTGCAACCGAGCCCAGCTCTCCAAGCGAGCTCCCATGCTGCATGGTGCCATTCAATAAGTGCATCGGTTCCAAATGCTGCATTTTGATCGTGGGAACATAGAGCCGGCCTTGATGAAACCAATATTCGGACACACTTCGCACTCTACGCGCACTTTGGCTATCTCCCCTGCTCGCAACGGCCAGACAATCTTCCACAAACTGGTTCTGTTTCGCCGCTAAGTCCTGGATGAGGGCGAGCACATAGGAGCCCATGAGAGTTGTTGCATCTGGGCAGCTGAAGCCAAACGCACTCTCCAGTGTCAGGGCCCCGGGAGGGGGCAACTCCTTGCATCCCAAGCGCACCATGCATCCTGAAGCCGAACCCTTGGACCAGGCTGCACAAAAGTTGTCGAAGAGTTTAGCACCTTGCCCGGCCCGAGTCAACAAATCTCTGTGTTGGGCCATGGTGTCGTGAGCAAAAGTGCTGTCTTCATCTTTCAATCGCTGCAATGCCTGGTAAGTCGTGATCAGCGAGTTCTCGCGGCCTAGCTTGAATCCAAAATTTTGCTGAACAAAACGAACCCAATCCACCACCGCCATGAGGTGGCCAGCCATCTGGAGATCCTCACGAGCTCGCAGCCAAAGTGCCAGAAGCGGATACTCCTCCGACAGCGCCAGTCTTGCCTGGAACTCTCGCTCCATCTTTGACAAGGATGGTTTCTCTACCAGTCGCAACATGCGAGAGAAGAACAACGGGCCCTCATCGCAAACTCGGTCGACTGCTGCTTCAACTGCCACCTGGACTGGCTTGGGCAGCTCCTTAGCATCCGGAGCATCTGTCGAGGCTCTGGATCTTGTCTCCTTTGCTCGGCGTTTCTGCTCCCGGGCCGCTTCAATGGTTACGAAGCGATACAGCCTGGCCTCTGCATGCGAGTACCTCTGCCCAGGTTGGAAGTTTCGGGTGAAATCTCGGTCGTCTCCCCAAACCGGCCGGTACTCCGGAAAGTCTCCAGGGTCAAAGGTGCTGTCGCCCTCCAAATGGAAGCCCATGTTCTTAGCACGTTGCTCGACCTTCCACTGTTCGAACTGATTCTTGTGCAGCGTTAAGCACAAGCAGCCGCGGGCGGTCAAACTGAGTTTCAGCCCCTTGAACAGCGCTTCAATCAATGCAGCATGAGTGGACGGTGGACCGCTGGAAATGCGATCCTCAAATGTTCCGGCGTGAGGAAAGTTGAACAAGATGGTGTCGAACTGCTCACCGGCCAGGGAGGTCTCCTGAAGTATGGTCCCGTCAATGTTATCGAGCAGGCGTACTCCATGGTCTCGCAATTCCTCAGCGACAGCGGTTAACGGTCAACATGCACCGAGTGCATCACTCATCCTGCAGCAGCTGGCAGTTGTGAGCACAACAGCGAGTTTTATTCAAGATTCTGCAATGCTGCGTGTAATGAGGTCGTCCTGCTGGCTGTAGCCTCAGGTTCGTCACTCTGGCTAGAAACATGTAATGGTTACGCACCATGGCCAGCTCATCATACACTCATCAAAACGACTACTGTGTCAAGAGCGTAGATGAAAAAACTTTGACTTGAGCTCTAATAATCCGTGCACCACCGACATGCAAAATTGAGAAAAGATCGACGATACGGCCTTGCCAAGCAGCGTGCTTCGACCACGCCGAGGGCTTCAAGACAAGAGACTGTGAGCCCAGCGGGCCCACGTGTGCGAGCAAGGCTTCGGGCGAAGCTGAAATTGCCTGCTCCAAGCTCCAGGCACCTCGCAATTTTCTTGCTCAGCTTACCTTTGGTTAGTAGGGAATGGAAGAATGGCCATTCCCTACTAACTAAAGGTAAGTCAGCAGACGGAGCAGACTCCTGCAAGTCGAAAGGCTGTGTACTGCTAGCCAGGGCACGAGCGACCAGGACGCAAGAAGATGGGCAAATGCGACAGGCTCTCGCAACCTGGCGAGATCTCGGTCTTTGAAGCTACTAGTTACCAGTATCTAAATCTTTGATACTTGTAGATGCACGTCTGCACTTCCTAATTGTTGCTGCGACTCCCTCAACCCCAGCCATCCCTATCCTTGCACAAACTGTGTCTTGTTTCAGCTTGTCGGTGTGATTTCGGTAGTTTCACAACATATAGGGGGAGACAATCCTAATTAAAATACATTAGTCCGGCAGTGGGAGGGCTGTTCTTCATCATGGATTGCTGGCAGGGCTTGTGGGTGCATGAGGGGCCGAGGGGTCGGCTGCATAGGGATGTGAGTCTAGCAGATGGGCGCAAAGTCATACTTGGGGAGGTTGTCTTTGTTGAAGCCTCGGTTAGCACTGCATCAGTAACCCAAGGCCAAGGCCTTCCGATGTCCAGACTGTCCAGTTTCTGGCTGGGCGCGCAGTTGGCGGGGGAAGGTGATCGAGCAGCAGCCGTGGAAACTCTGCCTGTTGATGTGATGAGAAGATTTCAGAACCAAACATTGAAACTTCGGCAGAGTAACAAAAACCGGACCCAAAAATCGTTTATTTCTCACACGCCTGCACTTCGTCGGCCAATGCATTCCACGATAGCATTGCATCAAACTCAGCTCTGTGTGCTCCGTCGACGCATGACTCGACGACGGCCTCCGAAGCAGGCCCAGGAGATGTGCCACGTAGCTGACCGGTTCTGCTTTCACAACATAAGGAGGTTTGCTTCGAGGGGCTGGAGAGTCAAACAAGTGCAAAGAGTGACGCTGCGGTGCTTTCCAATGAGAATCTAGCTGACGGCTGACATCCCGAACACGGCGCGCTCAGTGTGTACGTATGCATGTATACACATAAATATGTTTATATAATTATATAATCATATAGGCGTATAATATTCATATACGTCACACATACACGCCTCGGTTAAAATCGCCTAACTCTGCACATGTGGCTTCAGCCAGCCTCTCCAAATCGACGCTCCCACTCTGGACGTTCCGACTCGGATAGAACCGTCTGCACCTCCCCAGAAGAAGCTTCTGCAAGTAGCAGCCTGCCTCAGCTATGGAGCACGTCTTGCGTGCGTCGGAAGTCAGCCTGCATCCTGACACCTGTCCATCTGATTGCAGCACTGGCACGTGCAACTTCCATCAGAAAGCCGGCAGGGGAGCCTTGAAGGATGCGGGAGATAACGTACCAGTCTGCCTTCAAATGCTCCAAGATCTTCTCGAAGTTGTGTAAAACGCGAGGGTGACGGCCGTCAAACATGGGAGCCAAAAGAGCGCTGTGGAGAAGGAAATGCAAGGTCCTAAAGCAAAGTGGCGACATTTTCCGAGCTGCCAAATGCAGATCCCGTGATGGTAGATGAGGAAAGTAGCCAGGCGATGCATCCAATGATCGGACCAGTGGGGACTGATCAACCTTTTTGTTGTTGCGATCTGCATACCGCAGGCCACCAATTTGCTGCTGACATTCAGGGCAGGTTCCATCTTCCACGGCTTCTCCACATTCTCCAACCATGTAGAGTGCACCACACTGGCACTTGTATCTCGTGAAACCACGCATGCGAGCATTCGCATGCCCTCCAATCAGGGCCTGAATGATGACCTGCACAACATCATAGAACGGACGCGCGGCATGACGCAAGGACACGTGTGCACGCCTGTGAACAGGCCGTGCCAAGACTTGCTTGTTGGTTCTGTGCACACAGTACTTGTGCATCCAAACCCTAAACCCTTGGCGGCCTGTTCTTCATCGTCTGGCATAGCTGGCAGGAAGCTATTTGCTCTGGCATCGGCAGCGATCTTCAGCGGGTAGGACACACCTCTTCAAGGGCGAGGTGTACAATGGCCAGCATGCCTTTTGCAGGATCGAACCTCTGTGCACCAAACCGCTGCAGAAATCTATGCGTGCCTTGCCGTACAGTTCCATATCTGCCGTCCGAAACCACAAATAAAAAGGCAAGTCAGAAACAACAGCAGGAACTATTTCGGAACCTGATCGGGGTGCTGCAGCAATGGCTGCAGCCGCGTGAAAGGCGGTGAACAAGGGCAGATGATCCTGGGCCTGGCAGCACGGATGGCAGCATTGTCCCTACATGCCAATCCTTCTCCTCGAAACGATAATATTGGGTCCTCAGTAGTTAGAATGGAGTTTTGCGGCCCACCATGCTATAATTGTAATACGGACCCCCCAAAATTAGTGTTGGTAATTATAAAAGCCCCTGTATTCAGTTTCGAGCAGATAACACGATACACAATTCGCGCCTGTAGCTCTCGGAGAACAGGTGCGGGGAGTGCATCCCGATCTGCCCTGCAGAAACGATGCTGCTTGCACAGACAGATTCTTCGGCCAGCTTCGGTTTCGAGTCTACCACTTCGAGATGCCTCGAGAGTGGCGCCAGCTGCTGCAACGCAGGGAAAGTTGCGATCCAACGTCGTCCACGCTCACGCAGCTCGTTCTCCGGACCCTCAAGCAGACTGGTGGGTGTTTTGTTGGGTTCAGGGAACTCACAGCTCACCGAAGCTATACTGTACGTACAAAGTGGCCACTATCAAATCATGCTGAGCCATGCTGACAGACAGTCTTTTGCCCGCAGCAAAGCGTCGCAAAGTATGTTGCAACGGGCTGACATGGGCTGACAGCCGGCCTCCTGCGTGCACAGAAGACTCGAGAGCGCGGCAAAAACGGCAAAGTGCGAAGCTTGGGAAGTTGCCGCCTGCACGAAGGCACAGGTCGGAAAGCTACGGCTGTGCTGTAACGGCTTTTGCCCTCATCTGCTACTCCTCTTACCTATCTAGGGTGTTCTTACGATCCATGGTTGAGGAATGTTGAGGATATAGTCGGAATCGATACATCTCTACCGAACACCCTCAGCGCCGCAGTAAGACCGATACTGTCTCGGCTGCACTCGCGGGCCTTCTCGGCCAGTATTTGTAGTTCAGCTTCGTCCAGTGTCATGAGTGCTCGCTGGACAATCTCAGGCAGCATCGAGAACAGCGTTGCTCTTACTAGTAGTATCTGCCGGAAATTGCAGTGACAAAAGCGGGCCGATCGATTTCTTGAGCCGGGTAGCCTGTGCAGCTTCAACCGCTTCAGGGAAAAATCCTCCCAAGAAAACTTCAAGGCGGCCGGCCAGCAAAGGCTTTTCTCCTGCGGCCCGAAAGGCTACCTACTTGTCGGGTATCATGGGGAACTGAAGGTTAACCCTGTTGATTACATAGGGATTATTTAGGGACTATACTACCCAAGAAAAGGTTAAAGGTTACCTACTCTACTACATCTCTACTACTAGGGCTAGGAGCACGAGATGGATACTGCCCCACCCAACCACGCAAACCTGCAGAGGCTAGAATGGCTGAATGATGCAGCGCCTGGGTCAGGCAAGGAATCTACCAGCCACGGGACATCTCGGCAAAGCCGCTGGGTGGCTTCCATGTTGCGGTCGAAACGCCGGTGCACCTCGGACTCAACAGAACCGTGTCGATCCCGTCACACCAATACATTTCTGTCGTGCTACAAAAAGCGGATGCATGGATGGTTGTCAAAATTATGGTCCCTTTTTGGGGTACCCCTAAATATTTGGTGCCGTATTATATTGAGAGGGGACTGTTGTGGCGTGGGAAGATAAGCAGAAGATAAGCATGGGTTCCTTCTTCTTTGCTACCTCTGATGCAGCGGATCTCTGTGCCACCACACGCGACATGGAAAACTATGCGGATGCATGTGTACATATAACATGAAAAAACAACGCGGCAGATGCTCATGAGGCTTCCTCATACAGATGCTGAAGGCCGTTCTCTTTGAGAATAGCCTTGAGCTTCTTGAGCTCAGTCACGGTCTCTTCGTGCTTTTCTGCATCCCACTGGGCGCGAGCCACTACGCCTTCGAGGTCGTCGATCGTCTGGGCCATCACGAGCATCTTACGTTTGAGACTTGACCCACTGTCGCGGTCCCCGGAAATGGAGGAAGAAGCCGAAGACAGTTTAGGGCGACGTAGCCAAGTCTTAAGGGCCTCCTCAGCTTCATCGGACCAGCTATTCGACCCCAAACCCACGCTGCGCTTGATGTTAGCGATCTGGGTCTGTAGATTACGAACAGTCATAGCCGCTTTGGACGGATGTGCCGGGAGGCTTCCATCCTGCAGCTGCTGGTGCAACGTCTTAGCTGCCGGAGGTTCGCGGTCCGGGGTTGAGTCCGCAGCGCTCACACCCAAGTCCAGGGTGAACTTGCCACCGCCCTTGCGGGACATGTGGCCTGAAACGGACACCACCGAGTACGGCATCGCGAGTACGAAGAAAGCTACAACCTACAGAAAGGCTACGTGTGTCTGAGAGGCGGCTGAAGCGAGCATAGGTAGGTAAGACTGTGCATGTAGTCACGCTGCTCATCAGAAGCACGGCATGCAGCAACAGTGTTTCTTTTGCTGTCCCTGAGCAATAAGGTCGCGGCCTATTGTCGTCATCGCTTCAGGCGCTTCGCGCTGGGCCTCTTGTGAACACTGCGTGATTTGGCAGTCGTTCGTCGAGTCAGCACTCCGTGCTGCGCCCGACCATGGAGGTTAAAGAACTTGCATGCCTCCAGTACCCAAAATTTGTGACTGTGGGGTCGCAGGCTGTTCAGAAAAAAGTTCAGGGGGCGAATCCACGCATTAAAGATTTCCGCGGTGTTGGTACGCGTGTCGCGGGCACGGCGGTCTTCGGCCCTAGTGAGTTTTCTTTTACTGCAGGTATGATTCGGCCGGTGAAACTTGTCGATGATGTAGTATTTGACATCCTGGAAGCCAGATGCCTTGTGCTTCTTGATAAACTCCTGCGCATGAAGTTGTAGTAGACACAACAACTAGCAGAACCAGCAAAGCAAAAGCAATGTAAAGCAACGAAAGCAGGAAACGGACTCCTCCAAGTGGCAGGCATCATCATGGATAATGAGGTCAACCTTCATGTTTGGCATATCGAGGACGGCTTGCAGGAGTCGAACTTTGTCGGACGACCGTTCATTTACGAGATGTTCGCAAGCCCCAAGAAGACGTTGAGAGGAAGGGTCCAAGACAAATTGCCATCCAGCAGTCCGATCGGGTAGCACCTGACGTACAGCGTCCTTCTGTTTGCAGGAGCATGTGCGTGTGAAATCACCAATGAGCTTGCGTGGCTTGCCTTTCAGTCTCACAGACCTGGGAGGGTCCACTCCTGAAAGCAGAGCACGATGAACTCCGAAGTTGCCGTCGCAGCAGACCGCGGTAACGGACGTGGGCGGCTCGAAGACATGGACGTGGGACGACGCACCGGACATGTTCACGATGGACTTCGCGGGGTACTCAAGGTTAAACTCTATGACCTTATCCGGCTCATTCTTGGCCACGGCGAAGCCCTCGAGGGCGTGCAGGAGATTATCGCGCAAGGAATGTTCTTGCCAAAACTGTAGCGGGTGGTGCGAATCTGCCAGGAGACGAACAGCGGCTTCTTGTCCAGGGGAGGTCTTGGCACGGAGTAGGCGGAGGTAGCACAGATGCAGGTACTTCATGGTGAAGCACGTCTTCTGGGTCACGAAGTAGACACCTGCTCTCTGCATCTGGTGAAAGGTCATACAGTTGATCTTCTGGCCACCCAACCAGACGAAGTTGTGACGAAGTGCACTACCACAGCTATTGCATCGTGAGGCCTGCGACCGCACCAGTGTAAGCGTTTCACTGTCAAGGCAAGTCGCCGATGCGAAGCTGTTCGTTGCCTTGGAGAAGTACAGATTACCAGAGCAGACGGGACATTTCCGACCCGGGTATTTGTACGTTCGTAGTTTGCTTGGGAGGAGCGGCATGGGAAGCGAGGTCGTTGACGAAAGCTGCAAACCTGTATACTTGAGAAGCTCGCTACAGCACAGATATGAGGCACGTGCTGAGTGTACTCGACGAAAGCATGCATCATGAGCAAAGAGTCCATTGCGCAGCACCGAAAGATCTCAACAACAGCAAGAGATATAGCAGTGCAATGCATGACCTTTTTCTTGTGCGGCGAAGTCATGATGGGGTCTGCGTGCGTGCTCCAAAGCAGTTCTGCGAAAACAGATAAGTGGCATGCGAAACCATTACGGAGGATGGTAACAGCATGGATAGTTACGGTGATCACCACGAGCAACTGCAGGGAGCACCAAGAACATCGGAAAGCTACGCGGGTTGCAAAACTGAGCATCTAGCCCTAGCAAGTGCGCTTCAGTCCATGTGCATGCCCAAACCCAGCGGATCATTCTCTTCCTCCGACACCACGTCCATCTCCTCGGAGTCGTTTGCGGAATCTGGGTTGGGAACATGCACAAGCCTTGCCGGCTCAGAAGAACGGCGTGGCGGCGTGTCCAGGTCGATGACGGACTTGGAAGCTTTCAGCTCCGTGGCCCATGTCCTAGCCTTCTTGCTCTCCGCTTCTGCGTGAGCCCCCGCTTGTTCCCTCTTGATGCGCCGGTGGAGAGGCTCCGATGAGGTAGGTTCGCGGCCGAACAGAGCCTCACGAACTTGCAAGCGTTTCTGATGGTCTGGACGGCGCTCCTGTTGGCGTTTCTCAACAAGTTTCGACACCCATTCCTGCTCCCGACGCACCTGGGCGTTGAAGTCGGGAGGTAGAAGACGACCACCATCCTTGAAGACACCGTACAAGGCTTTGCCCGCATCCGTCATATACTCCGCATTTGGAATTTCGATACGAGGAATGCGATCTTGATTGATGCCAGCCTTTCTGTAGTAGATGTGCGTGTCTGTGTTTACCACGAAGACGCTTCGCTTGAAGATTGCATTCATGTGGTCTTTGGTGATGTCAGGACCGAATGCAGGCTTGATGATATTGGAGAACTCCTCGTGGGGGACACTGGGCAAGAAGCTCTCTGTTTTGACCTTGTAGTCCTCATCGAAAGTATTGTCAGCGACGGCTCGAGGCTGATTCTGTACCCATTTCACAGCACCCCAGCGTGCCCATGACATGGCCTCATATAGACCCACGTCCAGCAAGGACTTCAACATCTTGTTTGAGAGCCACTTGATGGTCGTGTCGTCCAAGAAATCCCCCATGGCGACATGTCCCTGCTCACCACGAAGGAAATCGATTTCAGGGGTACATCTGATGCAAGGTTTTTGGCGACTGCTGAAGCGGATCTGATTGTGTCGCACCTGAGCCATCAAGACACTGCGCCCCAAAGGCGACTTCCCAGCTCCAGCTTCACCGAGAAGTACCAGGGCAGAGGTATCGAAATCCCACACCTTTTCGAAGATGTCCAGAACCCAAGTATGGTAGAAGGTGCTCGTGAATGGAATAGGCCACTCCTCAATCTTTTTAGCCAAGGCTCCGTCAGTAGCGAGATTGCGAAGGGCTTTCTCAACGAGACTGTTCGGCCAGTTGAAGATTGGAGAGCTTGTATTCTTGATTGCTTTCGTCATCCACCTCAACTGTTGCATTTCGCTAGAGGAACGAGGGCCTTCCGTGGCAATGTAGTCAAACCCCGCATCCACCTCCTCGTCCGTCCTGTCCTCAAAGCGGGTATTGGTATTCTTCGCGGCAGAGAAGGTTTGGAGGTCAAAGACTTTGAATTGATAGCACCCCAAGTTCTCAAGGGTGTATTGGAGGATCTTTTTGCCTACCTTGGGATTTGCCGCCCGCCATCTGTAGATGTGAGCCTTGCCGTATACGGAGGCCAAGAAGAAGCAGGCTTTGCACTTGCTGGCGAAGACGAAATGCTTGATGATGTAGTGTTTCTCATCCGAAGTGGGAACGATGAAGATCTGCAATTTGGTATCCTTTGGGACAGACTGTCGTGGACAAAACGGTGCGGGAAGAAGACTCAGGTCAAGGTTGAGTACGGCTAACTTGTACTTCGCTTCCAGGTCACGGAAGTCGATGGTTTCTGCGTGGCTAGGGATCACATCGAACACATGGATGGAGGGGTTATCCGAAGGACCCATCTCCTGAAGCGGAAGAGTCATTGGTGTGAAGATGCCTGCAGGCAAGTGCAGGATTGCTGGAGACGTCACCGGCCTGCAGACCATAGGGTCTACCGTCTTCTGCAGGTCCTCATAAGACAAGTCCTCTGCCGCACGTGCCATGATGCAGAAAGCAGGACAGGAAAGTGCGGGAATGATACGCTTGATGAAGAAAGGTTGCTGCTAGGACAAGACATCAATGACAGATCTCACAATACAAACTTGGAGCAACGCAGCAACATGAGCATCATGAGCAAGTGCAAGAGACGTTTTGCTGGTGTCGCGGCGTGCATACATTGACGAACTTCTGCTGGGTGATACATCTAGGACGCGTGGCGGGAATCAGTGGCGTCGCCGCCGTGACAAGAACCACGAACTGCGAACCCTTCTAGAACACCAGATGCCAAGGAGGCAAGTGCGCTCGGCTGAGGCGCGTACCTGTGCAGAAGCGAAAAAAACCAAAAAAAACAAAAAAAACAAAAAAACAAAAACCAAAAAAACCAAAAGAACCGACCCCATATCACCGGGCGGCTCCGGAGGTATGGGGTTGGTTATTTTGTTTTTTGTGGTTTTTGTTTTTTTTGTTTTTTTTGGTGTTTTTTTTTTTTTTGGTTTTTTTGGTTTCTGAAATTACTCCATAAAACAGCAAGGCTTGTAACTTCTTACTTTGTTGTTGATCGTGCAGAACAATAGACAGACCTAGTTTTAGAGCACGGGCTTTGTTTTAGAACCGGTCTGGTGTAGCTAGTAAAGTAAGTCGCTTACTTCAAACGGGACTGTTGTGGCTGGTACTGCTACTCTTGAACCTGTAAAAACTCTTGAACCTGTAAAAACTGCTTATGTATACACGCCACAACAGTCCTTTCTGATTATATTAGGGACCCAAAAAGGGACCCTAAATTTCCACAACCACCCGCATGTGCTGCGGCATCCCTGGCCTCTCGTAAGACCGCAGTCCTCATCATCGGGGCAACGAGCGGGTGTCCTGACGTGTGGGGCGCTACTTCGGTATAGCGAGGCGAGAGGGGCTAGTGTGGAGAACCGAATACATGAACGAAGTCTAGTAATAATTCAGGTGCGTTTTCGAATCTCACTGTAATGGTGCACGCGCAAACCCAAACCCTATCGTAGCCTCCCGATGTGCTGCAAAGACCATCGAGTCCGTCCACAGCAGACCATTCTGCCTTGGCAGTCGGATGTGGAAGCTACTAGTTCGCCACCAACGTAGACCCAGAACCTGCAAACTTACAAAACCCTCTCTTGCTTGCATCTCTCTCTCTCTCTCTCTCTCTCTCTCTCTCTCTCTCGCAAGTACTCGGAGCGTCAGACCTAAAACCCTCAACCCCTAAAACCAGCCCAGAGTCGTCGACGAGAGAGGCCGCGCCCTGCGAAGCAGCAGCTCTCAAGACCGCTCCGGCTACCACATGGCCCAGGCCGAACTGGTGATGCCTCAGAAACATAAGAAGCTTTGTGTCAAGGCTAAGTTTTAGGGACCTTAAAGGTTAGCATAGGGTGTTGGGGCCCGTTATACTATAGTCTATAGTTGTATCTATATTATTTATTCAAAGGCCCCTATGTTAGGTTCAGGTTCAGGGGGTATAAGGGAAGTTTAAGGCCTAAGATTACGGCCTACGCACAACCATCTCGGAAGAGCGAAGGTCGGGAGCGAAGGTGACACTCCATACGGCATCCCCAAGCCCAAGTCAGAAACAAAGGTTCGTGGGCCGGGATTTAGGGTAGCGGGGTAGTGGCTTTTTGGGGGCAGTTGATGTTGATTGATGCGTTCGGCATGCAACATATCCAGCTAAGCTGCAAGGCACCAACTTTTTGAAGAGCAGCAGGAAGCAGTTCCTTCCAAACGAAAGCTTCCTCAACTGCACCGACATGTTACAGATTACGAAATCTGGCCCGGCAAGACAGAGCATGGCAAAACACATCACTCAGCACGTTACACTGCAACGAAGACTCTTCTTGCAAGGGTGGGAAACCGTGGTCTTCGATTTCTACACAAAGAATTGCAGTCAGTGGAGCTGAAGGACCGGCCGTGCGAGCTAGCGCTCGCAAGGTTCGCAACTCGTTCTGATCGGGTTCAGGCATGTGTTCATCTGCATCGAATCCTCACAGTGGCTCCACTCTTTCCACAGAACTGGAAGTTCGTGAGTGCATTGGCATGAGGAAGCTACATGCTTCACAGCCCCTGTCATCTCAAATTCAGGAACACGAACCTCCTGGCTGCTGTCAGGAAGCCTCTGCACCTCGCAAGTGCATTTATCTCGACTCGACTCGCTCTTCACCCATGCTACAAGTGTGCGGGAGGAGGCGCTCGAACAGCCAATGCAGGCAAGGTGCTCTTCCAGAAAGCATGCCGGATTCTTTCGAACAGCTGCTACCACCAGATTGCGAAGCTGAATGGCGGAACCAACAACAGGAATTCCCTCCGTGAGGCTGCAAACCATGGCATCCGAAGCACCATGTGCGATCAGCTCCTGATGTGTGGAAAGCTGAAGCTTCTGCCAAGTGCGTGCGTCCATGTGAGACTGAGCGCGGTCCATGATGCGAGCCATCAAGTTCTGCAGCTGCGCAGGCTGCGCGATGCTGGTATTCAGCCCTTCCGACATCCAGAACGCAAGAACATCAGTCTCTAATGCCTGGCTGATCTTGACCACGACACTTAAAGCCCCGACGCTGACAGGGCACACCAAGTTCATGATGTCCGTGGACGAGCAACCATCCAGGGCACTGCGTGCCGCAGACAATGCACGTTGGGCATTGGGAAGCCAAGAAGCTCTTAGCAGACTAAGAGTCTCAAGGCATGGATGCAATGCGGAGCAGGCATGATCCGTCACCAAAGCCACCAGGGAGGGCATGTCTGATCTTGCAGGAGCCTCCTGCCCACTCATAGCTGCTATGAATCTGTCCAGACCTCTGATACTCACTGGCAGGGCAGCAAGCTGCCTCAGCACGGTTTGGAGGCTGTCCTGGTGCTGCCACAAGTATCGATGAAGATCTGAAACCTCCCACTGATGTGCCCGATCCTGCAGAATGGGCTTCAAGACCCTCAGCTGCTCAGCTTGCGGCAAGGGCACAGCCGACAATCGCAATGCAGCCAGATCTTCGACGTAGGTGTCCTTGTGATCGTGCAACAGCTTGAGCCATTCTGCTGGTATTGCTGCCTCCATGGACCTCCGAAGAAGAGACCAAGCAGGATGTGCTGGCCCTTTGGCGTCAAGACCCTGTTCGAAGTAGAGGGCACGAAAGCTGTCGAGTTTCTCGGCGAAATGTGCTGCAAAGGGGATCTGCAACATTTGTAGATGGTGCCGGTAAGGGTAGCACTCTGATCCTTCAGGTGGGGCGACTCCCTCCAACGACACCACCTGCCTGCAAATATCAAACCAAGCACGGCGAAGCTCACAGTCAGCGGGATAAAGCTTGATCGTCTTCAACGCACACATGTTCTCCAACCGATGGATCAGCATTGCGGCAGGTCTGCGAACCTGCTGTCTCACATATGCTTCGATGCAGTCTGCGAAACTGGCATGTCCTGGATCTGGCTTGCAATCAATCCATGGACCGTCATGCAAGACCACTTCGGTGCCGGAACGGGCTTGACATGAAGCTCAACGACGACAAGAACTCATTACAACGACGACGGGCTGGCTTCGCACGGGCATTTCTGCACCCCCTCCTCGGAGAAGCTGCATGTCCGTCGCCACCTAGCGAATGTGGTTCAGAATGAATCCTACTCTCGATTCGAAGTGGGACGCTTCCAGCCCTATTAGCATGGAGAAGTCTTAGCACGGGCGGCGAGGCGAGGCGCGAACCAACGGTTAGCCCGGTAAGCCAAGCTGCCTGATGCCACCAGGCCCTTCGTGACTTGGTGCGCGTGCAGATCGACTCCATGCACGCATGCTTGAAGAGCGCCTGGGACACGGGCACTGATTGCGGCCGCACTCAGAACAGCCAGGTTCGAATGTGCTGCATGCCGTGAGCAGCATCAAGTTACAAGCGACTTGCGTCGCGCAATGAAAACGTGTGACAGCAAAAACCCCCTTGGTCACTGCTGCACCCCTGAGGCGGAGATTGGAAGTTTGAAGGGGAGCCTGCAAGATGCCTTGGAGCTTCGAAGTATACTTCACTGGCAATGCCTCTCTTCACACTACCGGACCGTTCCGCACCTGCTTAGATATACAATCCCATCTTTGCAGTCCAGATGCAGTCAGGTCCCGATCTTGCAAAATGACCTCTGTAAGATCCTTTACATGTCGTGCGGCTTCAGTTGTTGCAGGATACTTGATGTGCCAGAAGCATTCCTGAGCTGCAGCTGAAGTTGAGTATGAGCCTCGATGTGCACTCTGCTGCAGGCTCACTTGCCATCATGTTCTTGCCGAAGCCCCAACTACGCACAGGTCGTCGATGCCCCTCGAGAATGCTACAAAAGGGAAACTCGATGGATGCATCAACTGCTAACGAGCATCTGGCAGCACACTGCTGAGGATCCGTTCGAACTGCAGCGGGCCCGCTTCTTCCAGTTGCTGCTCCAAGGATAGGCTGATGCATTTTGGAACATTCAAGTCCTTCGGCTGGCGAATTGGCAACAGCAAATGGTCATGTGCACCCTGCCCTTTATGGACAACTAGTGTGCGAGCCTTCAAGAAATCAAGTTGGTGCTTGCGAAGGGCAGAGCTAGGCCGGGCTGGGTTTAACAGACTCCACGCCTTCTTGGAGTTGAGCTGTTCAAGGAAGACCTGCGTCCAGCCGCACTGGAAGTTCAGCTCCATGGACAGGCTTCGGGCAGTAGACCTTGCATGGGCCCGACAGAAAGTGCGACATGCTGAGCAAAGCCTCTCTGCTACTGCCAGGTGAGGGAGCGGGGTAGAATCGACAAAGGCGTGTACGAGGGTGCGAGCATCTTTCTGTTGCCATGTAGGATGAGAAGAGCCCGGTAGTGTTGCGCAAGCTGGCTGTAGACACGGTGGCGCACCAGCTCGACATGCACGGAATTCGCACGACATTGCAGTACCAGAACAGATCCCGGGGGCATGTTGCTAGCACTGAACTCGTCAATCTTCTTTTCAAGATCCAATTCCGATGTCAATGCGTCAACAGCGACAACTAAGTATCCGGGAGTGGAGTCCTGCAAGACGTCAGAAAGATTGACCTGCAGCGGCGACATGGTCACCACAATCGCGAGGCGACTGCTTGATGACTGGTCTTCTGAAGGTGCATGCTGCCACCCGCTCGCAAAAAGCCACTGGGATAGCGAGCTTGGCTGTGCAAAGAACAGATTTCTCCATTCCAGTGCTGATCGTTGATCCGAGTTGGCCCAAGAAGTGAGCTCTGTAGCTCTGAGGACACCGTCCATAGTGGCCACGGAGACTAGGCGTCGCCAACATTCCAGAAGCAGCGGCTCAGGACGGTGATACTTGACTGCCGCAGTGCTGGAAACATGTGCCACCAGTGATGCTGCTGTTTCGGGCCCCCAGCCCACGAAAACATCCTGGATTCGGAGGTGGCTGGCGCAGGGCACAGATGTCGCCTCCCAAGCCCATTCATGCAGCCTTTCAAGTGCATGCTTCTGAACTTTGTGTGTCATTTGACACTCAATGCCAACCTTGGTGCACACACGAATCGAAAATGTTTTGCTGTTGGTGCTCTTGCTGTCGGCTCAGTATGCGCATACTCTACTTCCAAAAAAGAAGCCAATGCCTGTGCGAAGACTCTGTTGCTAACTTACACAGCTACCAGCTACAGAAGTCAAGGTGAGCGAAGTCTGCAGACAAGACGCGAAGTGCTTCTCGAATCGATTCAAGAAAGCTGGGTCCAATGTCGGCAGCTGCGACTGCTCCTGCAACACTACACAGCGGAAGCTGTCATGTACTTCCGTGAGGCGATAAGCATCACCCAGAGCAACGCGACAGTACTGTTTGCCGCTCATAGTCGTGTACGACATGTTCAACATGTCATAGAGCGAACCGTGGATGACATCGAGGCCACGGAGCACCAAGATATCCCCTCGCTGCATTGAGATCATGACCCGTTTCAGCAAGCTGAAGGCATACCGGTCCTTCCAGACTCTATTGAAAGCAGCAGGCAACGGATTAAACCGAAACCTGCAACATGTTCAACCGTCCTACTTGCATCGCCAGCGGGCATTACTACACAAAAGGCGACGGAAACAAAAGCTCGGTGTTGACCAAGTTGCAGATTTGTCTTCATCGAATGCCGATCCTACCATGATCTGTATCTTGCGCTCCTGTCGCTGGGCGACGTCTTGAAGAAGACCAACCGCCGTCTCCGTGCCGCCGCTGCAAACCAGCAGCAGATGTCGCGCAGCAAGCTTGTCGTCTAAGTTCCCTTCCAGAACACTTCTCAAGCTCAACATCTCGACTGCCATGTGCCAGGGCAACCCCAATCGGCCCCACTGCATCTCCAGGAACGGGCATGGCCCGCACCCGGGTCGCAGGTCGGGTGGGAGACCGCCAAAATTGCGGAATGCAGCCCGGAAGATGGCCTGCCTCCACAGGGGCCGAGGCAGCGAGGTGGCATCTTGCTTTGCCGGTTTGGGATGTCACGTCCGAACCTAACCCACCCCCATGCAAAGCCGGTGTCCTATATCGGCACGAATCATTAAAACCCAGCGGACGCCCACCCCCTTCCGATCTGTGCCACAAACCCAGTGCTTGTGTCCAACACTTGTAGCAACTTGGGCATCTCCCTCCTCTGTTCGTTGACGCGTGGCCCGCTTGTCCGAAAAGTCTGAGCCAGCGCTTTGACAGAGAAGTAGAAGTCCCGCAGAGCATGAAAGTCCTCGACCACTTGGACCTGCAGGGCCGAATGTGCTGCACATACTCTGGCCTGCTCCCTGAATGGGTACATCGATCTGTTGCTATTGCACAAAAACTTAGCCAATGAAACAAGTCCATCCATCCGTGGAGTCCTGGTAGTAGAAGTAATATGCTTGGGCCAGGCGGTCAACTATGGCTTCGACGTTCAGGCCTTCACCTGGAATGAGTGCACACTTTCTACATCTTCTACATATCACAGCCAACTCCTTGCAGCAGGAACATGCAACAACCCGGTCCCATCACTGCGGCCGCGAGAAATATATCCAAGACACAGATAGCTTCTGCAGTCTTCTTCAAGTCTTTTAACGTGGGTGGTGGTCGCACAACTGTAATGCCACGGTTCAGCTTCGCCGCATCCAGGGGAGAGTTGGACAAACCGACCATAGCTGGTGGGAGCCGGTCGCCGGGCTCCAAACAGCCGTGAATGCATTTCAACGGATTGTTTGGGCTGGCCTCTGCGAGCCCAATCCTGGTTCTGTGTTCACAGAAACACAATAAGGACACCATAAAACCTACACGGACAGACTATGCTGTAACTACAGCACCATAGTCCCATGATATGTATTGACAGGAGAAAGGCAGCTCAAGATCCGAGACTCTCATCAAAGTGAACCACCGGGATGGACTTGCCATCTTCGCAGCTCTTCGCCTTCTCGAAGACTCGCAAAACGCCCTCACTCGTCGAGACATCGGAGCCTTGATAGGATATTACATTGAGCGGAGGAAACATTCTCCAAAGCTCCTCCTGTGAATCTTGGCCGCGAAGGTTTGCATAGATGATCTGCAGAGCCAAGGACTTCGAGTTCCCAGGTTTTCCCACCACGAAGAGTGGGATCTTGTTGAGAATGCAGACCATCATCACCTACAAACGATTTACGACATTACGGCCTTGCACTAAACAGTCTGGTCCCGAAGATTCGAATCAGGCTCTCTGTCTCTAGGTCCTGAGGCATCGGCAAAGACATTCTCCAGGAGCGCTTCATTTGGTGCAGTCAAGTCCGGTCGCTGAGGCATCAGCTTGAAGTATTCTCTCATCTCGTCCATCAGGAGCCGATGCACGACATCTTTGTCATGCAACCGCCATTGATAATCTAGCCGTGGCAAGTGCACCTGGTGCTTAGCCAGGATGGAAGCCACCAGATCGGCGTAGTCTTCACGATGCTCCTTCGTCGGCAATCGGAACTGATATGAAATTGCCAGTGCATTCAGCACGGCCAGCAGCATCAGCTTCGTGTCCGAGTATCCGTTGTTGACAGGACCACTTTGGCGCTGTCGAGAAAGTCTTGCTTTGGCTTTGGCACTGCTTCTGGACATCAGATGGGCCTTAGTAGGTTTCTGTAGTATGTATCCAGTATATATATATATATATATATATATATATAGTGTGTGTGTATGTATGTGTATATATATATATATATATATATATATTTCCTATATATATATATATATATATATGTACGTATGTATATATGTATATACAAATATACCGTATATATAGTACTTATATACATATATATATATATATATATACATACACAGGTGCTGGCCGCTGCTGGCCTTTACTTGCTTGTCAATTACAATGCACATGCAAAATGCTTCAGCCTGTCCCCATCTCAGCGGCTATCATTTGGCAGATTTATCTACATGCATGTGGATCACAGCTGCCGGACTGGCCTTGAACCAGTCGATCAGGTCCACGCACCGTTTCACATCGCGTAAACTCAGCAGACAAGCTGGCTGGTGTCGAGCGGTGTACTGGTGGGACTCGGTGATCAGCTCTGTGATGCAAGGAAGCCACCAGTCTCGTTCCCTGCAGCACAAGTACAGTACTGCTGCTAGCTGTTGGCCAGAAAACTCCAACAGAGTACACGGGTCCAAACCCTAGCAATGCACTATGTAGCCACTTAGCATGCAACGTCAAAATACTTGAGCAGGCATTGCCTTGACTCGAACTTCTGCTCAACCATTGACTGCACGTAGCTGCGTTCTTCGGGCTTTCCCAGAAACCCAAAGTCGTACAAGTAGTCGTAGAGAGCTTCCGGGAGCTCCTGTCACTACTCTGCTATGATTGTTCGTGTTATACTGATCTTGTGGTTAGTAATTACCACTACTAGTTGTAGTATTATCAATATCAGTAAGATATTGGGAGCAGCAGCTTTTAGAGATGCGACAACGGGAATGAGTCAGTGCACGCAAGTGGTGCGTGTCCTGCACGCTGTATACAAGGTCAGAATGTCTTCGTCGGTGACTGCTGTCCTTCGTTCAATTTTACTGCAACAGCCGCGGGCCCCTCTTTAAGCTCCGCAGACTACTGCAATGCAGTGCAAGGCCGTATAAGCCCTAGGCCACCACGACCTTTCTTGCTGCGGCCTAGCTTCGCTGAGGGCAAGAGCCCTCTGCACCGCGGCTTCGTGCGCTGAAGGCTTCGGCTTCTTTCGATACGGATTGCCTGTGCTGGCAAGCGAGCGGCAAATGTGCCGGCCGTCGGAATTGTATCTTAAGCAAGACTGAAATGCCAAGCACACATCCACACACACCGGCAAGCAGACAAAAACTACTACCAGACCGGTGCTAAGATTCAACGTGTCAGTGTTTGCCATTCAATGTCGTGCCATCGAGGATGGACTAGAAGAATCCCGGCTACTGTAAATAATCACCTGCGCCATACTCATTCACCGACGCTCATGGGGGATAAAAAACGCCTTTAATAGCCCGCTGCATTACATATACTATCGGTTCAGTTTCGAGATGCCTTGAAGCCTGCTGGTCTCAGGCATGGCATCTTGCATGAATCGCTCTAGACTGCGCGGTCACAAGCATGCTTCTGGGATCAGCATCATGCTCGACTGTTTGGATCCAGCACCATCAACCTCAACCCACACAGCCCTGAGCAGAACCTGACCGCATTCTCTGCCACAAACAGTTCATCCCTCTACTCTAACACTAACGGGAAACGATTGCCGCACAAACATGTGCATACGTCAAGGTGTCGATCCTGCAAGTCAAGGGGCCCTGCCCAGGCATTCTACCAGTTCACATGTAGAGGCCCTACCTGTACTCTCCTGCGTAGTTTCAGATGCAGCCTGGCATATTGATATGGCTAGGATCCCGGTTCAAATATAACAAGCTGACCAGGAAAAGAAACTACATTAGAGACATAAAGCATAAAATCTCACACGTCACGCACGAGTCAAATCAATATCGGTGAATGGTGAGCAAGGGCCGTGGGAACCTATAGTAAGCCACGCGGCTGCCTGAACAAGTCAGGCTGACGTGTGCTACTTGCCATCCGGCTGTACGGACTTGTGGCCAAGGTGCATGCTGCGAGAATCTTGACCTTTGTTGGCAAAGCTTTGCCGAAGACTCGGTGGTGGCAAATGATTTCGGTAATCATGCCCATGTGGTCACACGTGTTCACCTGGGCCCAGGGGCTGAGGGGTTGCTCAACAACAGTGTTCCATCTACAGCCCGCATATATGTCCCGACTGCAAGGGGTGCGGCAATTAAGAGGGCATGATGTAGCAACTGTCACCGAATCATACCGAACCCTTAGCATTCATTGAAATGAAAGGACCCTACACTCAGTAAGAAGAGTCCGCACCTCATCAAGGAATGCCCAAACCACGCCGCCGCCCTGGGCTTGGTCTGCGCATTCCAGGACGAAGCTGGCAATGTCGTGCGAGGAGGTGCCAGCATGAACGTTGAGGCACCTGAACTGTACATTCATGAGTGTGGAAAGGTAACGGATGAGAGAGGTCTTTCCACATCCTGTCTCACCCATGATGACGACAGGGACGTTGCTCTCGATCCGCAATGCGATCCAAATCATCTTCAGGAAGTTGTCCGGGCTGATCACATAAGCCTCAGATCCTTTGACCCGGTTGGCCGGCTGGCTGTCCAGAGGCACAACGGTGGTGACCAGCCTTGCCTGCGCGTGTCAGCTTGTGTGTGCACTGTCCACATATTAAGTTGAGCTCCTTTGATGGCCCTACAGCTCAATGATGGGAAGCTAAAGAGAATCTGATCTGCTTATTCCCAGGTGCTTCAAGGTCTTTCGTGCTCATGTTCTTGTAGTCCGGCAGCACCCACTGCCCATTCACACTTTGCGACTGAAACAGCTCCAACACTGCTTTGGAGACTGTGCTGCGATCATGGTAGATTGCTGTGAGGGTCTGCCGGTCGAAGGTGTTGAACAGAATGAACGGTCGGACGTCGGACCACCGGCTCATGCCTTCGAAGGCCTCTGCACAGCTTTCAAGTATGGTCTGGTCATGCTGATGCCGCTGCCTCATCTTGCTCACGGTGACTGCTCGGCCTAGGAAGCTGCAGCATGCTTCAATCGCTTGCTCGACCAGCAGCGTGCGTAATGAGTCCTTCAAGCCAAGCTCCTTCAACGTTGCGCACTGGAAGTATGTTGACTGATGGAAACACACCAGCTGCACGGCCAGCACGCGAAGCAGTGCCAACATCAAAGAATATGACACGCTGCCGCGGTTCATTTTCTGCACCACATACTTTTCCAGAAGATCCTGGCACCTGGCTTCTGGAATGGCGGCTTTTCCAAGGCAGAGAGGCTGCATGTTCAGCGTTTGCTGATCTAGTGAATCCAGAGTGCAGCAGACAACTTGCACAGGACTGCGCGGACAGTCGGACACCTGCAAGGATCGCACCGAGAATCGAACCACTTTCGGCATCACCAAGTTGCGGAAAGGAAGTGTGCGAAGTATAGGGGATGAGAGGTTTGCCAGCTCGACGAAAGTACTGCTGCAGGGCACCATGCAAAAGCTTGCTCCCGACTGCAGTACACCCCAAAGGCTCAACTGAGTTAACATGTCTGACAGGAGCTCTGGCTGCTCAGTGGGCCCGATCTCTAGATGCAAGCAGTCATAAGGCTGCCAGCTTCTCCCCAACAAACGGGTGATCAGGTCTGCAACATCCAGAGGGCCACTGAGAGGAACCGTTACAGGAACTTTCTGGGATGCGAAAGCGCGCTGGCGAATGAGCTCTGTCTTGCCGCATCCTGCCTCTTCAGACTCAACTATCATTAGGTTTGGGGCCAGCTGCATGACAAATTCTCTCAGACCCTCGGGTGATAAAACATCAGCTGGCTCCGGCGGGATCTCCCGCAGCACATGCACCTGCGTGTCATCCTCAGCCAAGGCCACAATCACCAAGCGAAATGAACTTCCCATCCGGCCACCCTTGATTCGCCCGACCAGCTTGTGCTGCAACGAATATGTCAGCCTTTCCACGTGGATTAGGCAATGTAGCCCTCCCACATGCTTGCAGCGCTCTAGGAATGCTTCCAGCTGGGGCCAAACAGTACAAGATGAGCAGAACAGAACTTGCGATGCCAGTGGCAAGAAGCCGGATCCTCGGCACTTGTACTGCAAAAACCAACTCCCTCCATCGTCTGCCGCTGCTGCTATTTTAAGCTGCTATCGATCTACGAAGCACTTCGGTCACCACGAGGGCACTCATAAAACAAAGCACTGGATAAAACCATGCGGGCGTCCTCCGTAGAAGGAGAGTGCCAAAGGCAAGACTTCCTCTCCGCGCTTAGCCATTGCTGACCGGGGAACTCCTGGCTTCACTATGCTGCGAAGCCCAGCTTCCATGTGGACGTCGAGGTCTGGACATGCTGAGATGGAGGGGCAGGATGAAGCTATTCTGCTGACTACCTGCCCACGAAGAATAGCAAGTCTGTTGCTCTTTCCCTCTCTCTCTCTCTCTCTCTCTCTCTCTCTCTCTCTCTCTCTCTGTCGCTCTCCCTCAAGCTTCACGACGTAAACAACTTCCCACTCCTAGAGTCGATCGTGCAAGCTGGGCAAGCGAGACTGGAAACGTGCACATGCGCCCGCCTGCTTCAGCCCCTTCCCCAAGGCTGCTAACCAAGATTCAAGGTCTTCCACAAACTGAAAGGCATCATCACTCGTCTCGTGGGAGAGCACTGCTGTCCGCTCTTCCGCGGATAGGTGTCGGCCCTGCAGCGGGCATTCGATCTTGCAGTCCCAGGCTTGGGTTGCAAGGGGCTTAGTTGCCGCAGCCCAAACCCGGAGCACAAACCCTGGCCTGGATGAAGCTCAGCACAGACATCACCAATCGTTCCTCGCCCGGTGAGATGCTCCTCCTTAGTCGTACGTACAAAACCGGTTTGAGCACTAATGGTCCAGTATGTGTGCCCACGAACATTCGAGCATGTCGCACAAAATGCTCAGCATGGCTGCCGACTGCATGCAGAAGCCTTGCCTAAAGACGACTTAGACTAAGCTCGGTTAAGCACAATGCAGGGGTGCATGTGAGGACATATGAGTCCATATCGAAGTTTGCAGAAGCACTATCGAAGACGGGATCTGAACCAATTGAACATCTCGGTGTGAAGCTTTAACCGACATGCCAGATCAAGGGACAAAGAGACAACCATGTGCCCTGTGGAAACTTTTGCAGAAGGATTCGCCGCACTTGCCAAGTTGCGAATGCACAAAGTCGGACATGATCCAGAGCTGCTGTGAGTAGAGAAAGCACATTTCCGGAAACCGCTCTCGAGCCCGGCCCAGATGGCATTGCCAGTCTTGCAGCCGTTGCTCGAAGGAGGACTGCCATTGCAGCAGCTTCTCCAGTGCACCTGGGTTGGAAGCCTTCCACTCACCTCCTGCCCAAGGATATCCTTCCTGGCGAAGCAAGTCAAGTGCTTCAGCCACATCGAGCAGGACTTCGACCTCTTGAACGAAGCCGGCCATGGTCGTGTCGGTTGTTGACGGCGTCTCCGCCGAGTCAAGCGTACGACTGTCGTCTACTCGCAGTAATGCCCTGGCCCTTAGATCTAGAAGTTGATGCTTGCTCAGGGATGCTTGCACCTTATCGTTACCCATGTGGGTCGGATAGCTGAGAGAAACTTCGACGTCGTGGCCAGTGCAAGTCAGCTTGTAAACACCGCTCTGTGATGCCTGCAAGATCTTCTTTCCGGCCATCTCCTGCAGGTTCTTCAAAAAGCAAGACGATACACAGTAACTCCTATAGTTAATTAATGGAAATGGAACCAAGTGGATCTTGCCGTCCCGCCTCTTGTGAGGAAAGGTTCTGGTACAGGTTGGACAGGCCATAGCAATGCTGAACACACAAACGAAGCTTGCTCGCGACGTCTCTCCGCGCGTCTAGAGACAAGGACCCACAAACTTCGCTGAGTCTTTGGAGCAGGTTGGTCCTGCCATAAACAACATGCAACAACATCTAAGGGATGGATTCCTTCATAACATGCAGAATGCTGTGGCCAGGCACGCTCTGACTGACCGGCTCCTGTTTGACTGATGCAGAGATCGAAAGAGTCTCTGTATGTCCACCAAGGCAACAATCGTGTCTGGACGGATGAATGCATTGGAGTTCTCCTCAACCGCATCCTGCAACGGTCGGAGGTCCTCGTCGAGCATCGGCTCAAGAAAATTGTGAAGCTCGGCCGCATCTGCCAGGGCCCTGAGAATGTCATCCATGCCATTGCCCCTGATCGCCGAGAGGACAGAGGCTGCTTTGCGAACAGCTTCGAAAATCAAGGAAGCACTTCGGAGGCCATTGCTGCCAAGCCCATCTTTCAAGATATTGGAGATGGAAGGTGGGTCTCCGTCGTCGGATAGCTCTTTCTGCAAAGACAACAACTGATCTTCCATTTGCTCCCATGGCTCCGGACTCAGGCACCAGACTCGGCTTGCTGTGCACCTCATGGATCCAGGAGTCCAGGCAAGGGTGGACCGGTCACATGCAGAAGTCTACCAAATTCAAGTGGTGCCCACTCGATGCAGGCCTTTAATCGCAAGCCCCGCAACTCGACAATCGCCAAGTAGCAATGCTTGGATTTCGGTGCTCACTTCGCCGAGCCGGGAGCATTGCTCCAATGCCTGGTGCATAATGAAGGAACCATATATTGCTTACTGCAGAGCCCTATTATGGTAACTTAATTGAAATCCCCTAACAAGAACCCGGAATGCCTGGCACATCTCCTTCGGAAACGCGACCCCGCTGACCTCGGATCCACAGGGTCTTTGCGACTGCGCGACCTGGTCCAAATTTGGCAGACCTGGGCAGCACTGGCCATGTCTTCCCGGACTTGTTGCACCTTCGGGGCGAAATGGATCTGCCAACGGCTTACCGATGAACACACGGGAGAACTACGGGAGATAAGTCTGGTTTTGTCTGCAGGCCTCGTCCAGTGGAAGCAGTGCACGAAGACGGCCGAGGTCCATCGACGTAAGGGGCGTCCCTGCCATTGATTCACACACGCCTCAGCTTTTCAGGGGGCTCCCACAGTCCAAATATGGAAACATACATCCGGCAATATAAGCATTGTTGCCGAGATGCTCCGGAATCCCTCCAACAGCTGCGGGAACTCTCTCACGAGTCTTGCACATTCACTGGGCTGAAGTTTCATGTGGCGTTCGAGTTCACCGACATCAGCTTGCGGCACAGCTTCCTTGCTACATGCGAGAGGCAAAAGACACTGCGAAGCCTGCACTCCAGCGCTGAGAAAGTCTGAAGCAAAGCATCGGCAAAGTCAGGATCCATCTCAGTCCCGTCAGCATTGTCGTCATCTTCGGCGTCTGCTGTCGCTCCCATCAGGTAGCCATGTGCATACCGGACAAACATGCCACTCTCTGGCAGATGTCTGATCTCCTCTGGGCACTGGGAGAACCACCAACGATCCTGCGAAGATTCAGCAAGCCATGAAGCTTTCGGGATGCACCCAGCTGCTACTACTGTTGTGGCAGTGCAATTGCTGCCATTCCTCAGTCAGTGCTGGTAACTCTGAAACATTGCGCTGTCGATCCAGCTGGAGTAGCTCCTGCCAAGCAGAGTTCGGATTGCACGAATATATGAATGTCCAGCTTAGATAGAAGATCCTTCGCAACTTGCACAACGGCTGGCCTGCCCGGCAGCATGCAATGAAGCTGCGCTTGGCAGCTCGCACTTGTAGCACAGGGTAAGGAAGGCACGAGCGGCTTGTGCTTTTTGAACATACCTCGAAGGGTGTACAGTTAGGTTCAGGCTTTGGTAAACAATGCAACTGGGCTTCCTGAATGATGCCAAGAAACGCCTCTACCATGTTCTGCAAAGGTTGAATAGCAGCTCTTGCTTGGTCCAGAGAGGATAAGGCCTCTGCCTCTGCCTCTGTTTTCAACTCCTGCGAATGTCAACAGCTCGGGCGGATGCCAGAGCTTCTTGTGGAAGAAAAGAATATTTTGCGCACTTGCAAAGGATGCTGGAGAAAGCAGGCTTACATGTATGTGTGTATAAACACACACACACACATATATATATATATATACACATATTATACACACATACAGACACACACTGATCTCATACATATCTTCGTTTACTCAATCAATGATCAATTGACTCACAGGCTTATTTGTTGATGCCTGTATACATACCTATACCTAAACAGAAAGATGGCTACAATGCAGTTAGAAGCACTGACACTTCGGAAAAGCAGAATCCATAACCGACACTCAGCACGCGCACACACACACACACACACCACACCACACCACACCACACACACACACACACACACACACACACGCACAGACTCTCACACATTCAGAACAAATCAGAAACACGGCGTCCCAAGCCCAACAGCTGGCCAGGCACTTACGACGATGCGCTGCACCCCGGAGCCAATCAGCCGGAAGAAATTAAAGCCTCACTGCAGGTCCTGGTACAGCGGAAGAATTTCCAGAAGCGCAGGTTTTGCCTGGAGCACCTCGGCACATTTTCTTGCACCGGGGAAATGAACAGGGCTGCACCAGATGAAAGCCAAAACTGCAGGATGCCGCCTCCTCTGCCTGCCGCAAGCTAATGTTACCTTGCGCGAAATTGCATTGAAAGTGCAAGGATGTGCAAAACGTTACTTACTATGTATTGCTCGACTGGGGCCTTCCAGCACATCCTTCAACCACGTCTGCAACGAAGACATGGCTTCCTGAAGATGTGGATGTCTTTGAATCCGAGCACCACAATGGTCCCAAGCCTGCAGAACATGCTTTTCAAAGCCCCGTCGTGTCTCTAATGACACAATCCCGTATTCCCGCCAATCTCACGAAATTGCAGTCGATGATTTATTCCATGTGGCCTCAAGAATCCGGCGCCAGGGGATTCCGTCGTCATCGAGCAACGAGAGTGGGTCGGGCAGCGGTTGAGCAGCATTCAGAAGCGTTTCAAGAGCGGCTTCCGCATGCTCTCGACTTTGGCCAGACAGGGCCGTCAAACAAACTTCCACGCTCCGTGCGGAAAGGCGACGATCGTCAGTCGTTCTCCGGACCTGGGAGCAGGACGCAAATGGTTCAAAACATCGTGAGAGGCCTGGGAGTGATAAAGGCCGCGGCTGCTTCAGAGAGCTTCGTTATCCAGTACTGAACCATCTCCTGCGCTGGCAGAAGTAGCCCGAAATAGCAACAGCTCCAGCCCGCGTTGCGAGACAACATTCCTACGACTTCGTAAGGAAGGCCCGACATGCAGCCGCAAAAGGAGGCTGCTTCGTGTCTGAAGTCTGGGGTGGTAACGGATGACCGCACAAAGCCGCATACCATAGGGGCCTTAACAATTAGAATAGGGTTTTGGGGCCCAGTATACTACAATTATAACATGGAAACCCCAAAGTAGTATTGTATTGGTAATTATGTAGGCCTCTACATGGGAGCTTCCGAAAATTAGGCCTAGGAAACTCCCATATTAGCTGCGGTCCGGAAGGACTTCGGCAGCAGACAAACCGGGCAAAATCTCCAGGAGAGCCCTCTCCCCCACAGCCTTGCAACAGGCCAAGAAGGGACCCCTCCCCGTCCCCTCCCCTCCCCCCCAAAAAAAACACGTGTGACAGACTTGTGACGAAGATAGCAGAGGGGCATCAAACTCAGCTTCAATGGATGCAATTGCGATTGCAAGGGCATCTGCAGAAGCTGACTTCTGCAAGAGCTCAAGCAACTCGGTGGCCACCAAGAGCGCTGCAAGTGGTTTCCTCTGAGAAATCCACAGCAGGCTTTCAGAGGTACAACGAATTATGAGCAAGCGTAGGAATGGAGTGCATGTGAAGGCCTATGCGTCGACTTATACCTCAGCATCTGCAGCTCCACATACTCACGAAGAAGTCTCATCACCTGCTGCAGTCGGTTTCCACAAAATTTGGAAGCTTCACTGAGCATACACTCAGGTCCCCTTGCGCAACACAGTCATGTGTACAACAGCACCTCGTCGTCTGAGAGCTTCAGCGCGTGGGAGAATTGAGTGAAGCTTCCCACTAGCTTGCGAGAAGCTTGGGCAGCCGCCTGTGCCAGCAACGCACGGACATGCTGGGAGGTACTGGGCCCAGTGCAATGCAAAAACCGCTGTGTGTTGAGAGTCACGTTGCCCAACGACCGGTGCCTCTGAGTCTGACCGACGGCACTGAATCCACAGCTGTCGCATCGTTCGCCGAAGAAGCAGGGCGGCCATGTCATCGAAATCATTTCTGGCCAAGAGCTCGCCGATGGCGGCCATCTCTGAGTCAAGGTCTTCTAGGCGCTCGACTTGGAAAATATCGGAGGCCGCACGTCCGAAGCATTGTTCAAAGGTCGCGTGCAGGTTGTGGCGGGCGAGGGAGCTCGCACCTGAGAATATATCACAGACCTCTCCCAGAGACCGCCTTTGCTTGCCGATTTTGGCCGAGTAGTCTGTCCCAGTTTGGCTTCCCAAGAGGGCATGAACCATGATCTGACAGGGCAATTTGCATGATGCATGCTGCACCCAGACGACCAGAGACGGTATTCAAGGGTAGGCAAGTAAAACAAACAGGCCTGTGCATCAACCTTCGCTCCTTGAAGCTCAGCTTGTTCTTGAGCTCTTTGACCACAGCTCAATTGATGCGGCTCCCCTGCGTCGGATGCTCCCGTTGACTCCGGCTGCGGCTCTTCGATCTCCCGATCCAGCTCCACAACCTGTTGCGGCCTCCTTGCAGCAGGAGAAGCAACATCTCAGCGCTCCATGCCGGGCACGTGCAAAACCCTGCAATCTGCGGGATTAATATAAGTCGAGTCTCGGAGCCTCGCACAAGCCCACGACAAACAGCAGAGTCCTGAATTCGTAGCTGTTGCCAAGCAAAGCCTCCCACAAAGCCTCGCAAGCCCCTGTGGACATCTCCGTGATGTAGTTCTGCATCTCCCCCAAGGATCGTCTCATCATCGTCTCATCAAAATCTCCTGCGCCACGTTTGGTACGTGCAGGGAGGGCAGCGAGGTGAGAACAATGGCTCCCACCTACAAGGATAGCCAAGACGAGGAAGAAATGCCTTGATAATTCTTGCTCACTCGGACGTGTTGCAGTGCCTTGTAACTCCCGTGGCTCTTACACTTGCCAGCTGCCCCTGTTGTCGGGGTTGCCGCAACAGTCCATGACTTGATCCGGGATGCTCATAGAATCGGAGACCGATTCATTTACACCTGTTCTCGCCTGCCGGCTCTCCAGTCAGCCTGGTATGTAGTTGGCCGTACATACATAAATAATCCCATCGTCACCATGCAGCATCTTCAAACGAACGCCCTTGACGCACGAAATTGGTTTGCACTCCCCAACCTAACCCAGCCCTGCTTGAGCACGCTGAAGCCTGAGAGTTCAGCGTTGCAGGCCTGTAGGTTTACCGGAGCAAACCCCTGGCCCGAACTGTGCACGTGATGACACTGGGTTTCCAATAATACACAATAACAGTAATGGAAATAATGCGTCGGCTTCAAGCTTCTCCTGCTGTTTTCAGAAAGATGCCAACCGCAAACAGCACGAGCACAAGTACTCCCGGCCAGAGGCTCCCAGCCTTCACAGCATACGAAACAGAGGGCGGATCTATAAACCTTCTCCGACATCTGCGCAAAGTAATACGAGGAGGTGCGGTTGTTTGAAGAACGGCATCATCGTCTAAGGCTAATCATGAGAACAGTTTTGATGCATGGGAATCAAAGTGCAGACAGAAACTCAATCTGCCGGCAGCACGAAATGCTGCAATGTTAGTCCTCCGTCAGGATTGAAAGCAACTGGATGAAGCAAGCCTTCAAGAGCCAAGTTTCCATACAGAGTCTCTGCTCTGACCATCTGCCTGTCAGGGTGACAATCGAACTTCATGGAACTGTCTCCTGACCCGCACGCAAAGGGACTTGGCACTTGCTCCAGGCCTCAAAGCATCCAGCCAAGCTGAGCCACCCTTTCTTGCATCAGCGAGCAGAAGTGTCGACAATCCACGTCGCCAATCCTGGCAAAACCCAAGACAATGAATGCATGGATGAAGGTCATGCAAACTGCAGACTACAGGTTGCAAGCTGAAAAGGTGAAACATCTCCGGCGCAAACTACACTGTACTCGCAGAGGGAGTTGGCACACAGCTATCTATGCAAATACAGACACTGAGGTGGTACTGAATAACAAGTCAGAACAAGTCCAGGACATTTGGCTGAATGTACACTGCTTCCAACCCCAGAACTAGGCTCCTCATCTTGAGTATCGATAAGGGATTCGAACTCGACAGAGTCAAGCGAGCATGCCGCCAGCGAATGAAGCACGAACGTGCTGCTCTCCAAGGGAGAAATGGTGACCAATGGCACGACAGTGTTCAGATTTGCCTCCATCTCCTTGGACGGACTTTGGCAGGGCAGCAGCAGTCACTCATCTTTGGGTATGTGTGATCTGGTTGCCTCCTCAACCTGCTGTTCCGACAACCTGGTGTTGGACAAAGAAAGGCAGATGCGTATGTCAAAGTGGCACAACACGAAAGCTGGTTTCAGCCTCAGAAACCATCTGATGAGGAAAGTAGGACCCGAAAATACCAGAAAGCTCCCATATGCCACGCTGGAAGCCCCGCATCGAACTCAACTGCCGCTGAAGATCGCTGCCGTCGAACACACTTCGTCCGACCAACTTATTGTTGTTTGGAGCCTGCCATTGTGGCGCAAAGTTCAATCCAGAGCTTCGCTTACTGGGTGCTCAGCACTGACACTGAATCCCCAGAGTACTACAACCTGAATGAAGACGCATGGCTTCTCAGCCGTGTGTTGTCTTCGTCTCTGTCTGTCTATCTCCATCTCTCTCTCTCTCTCTTTCTCTCTCTTTCTCTCTCTCTCTCTCTCTCTCTCTCTCTCTCTCTCACTATCTCTCTCTCTCCATCTCTCTCTCTCTCTCTCTCTATCTCCATCTCTCTCTCTCTCTCTCTCTCTCGAACTCGCACGCGCTGTTTTCCCACAGTCGGCAGCCTTGCGCATAACTTTGCAGACAGTCTGGTCTTCCTTGGGGTCATTTTGCTGCCCCTTCTTCTTGTGCTTCTTTCCCCGCCTCCTCAGCAGCATGTATGCAAGGACTCTTTATGATCAGAACCGGTCGAAGACTCTCCGGAGGCAGCCCAGATTCAGAATCACCCACTCGCCTAGCAGGAACGGTTTCAACATGGTTGGTGGGCAAATCCCCGACGCGACGACATGTAAGCATTTCCGCGTGACTGCTCGATCGTTGAGGCCTGGGGCGAAGCCATCGTCATCGTCAAGCTTGACAAGCCGCCCCACGATCCACACAGCCAGCACTGCTTGCGCGGAATTGATTGGCATGGCCAACCTCCGCCCGAATATCGGCAGGATTCCAAGGCAGAAATTTAGGCCTGGGGTCTCGGTACCACAGCCAAGGCACTGTTTCAGGAAGTCTTCTAAGTTTGGTGCACATGGCAGAAGTTGGCACAGGCCAGCAAAATCCAGCAGGACAGCTTGAAGCTCGGCAGCATCGGAAGCACCTCGACTCAGGACGCAAGTACACATGCAAATGATGCACCAGACGGGGATGCACCACAGGAGGAGAAAGGCCGGAGTATTGAACAATCACGAAGCAAACCCGTCGAGTTGCCTTCGCATGCCACCGCCGCCAAGCGCTTGTAGAAGCTAGACACGAAGTGACCATACAAGTCAGCCTCGTATCGATCTCGACTCGATCCGATGTACTTGCACATCGTTTCCCATCACTGTCACTACTATTCAAATTCTTGCTAGTGTTCATATTACTACTATGAATACAGTCGACGACATCACACACCCGCAACACACGTCATGTTTCAAAGCCAGCCCCAGCCTGCTCCAAATTCTGCTTCCCTTCAAACATCACCTGGCAGAAGACGTAGGAGTTAGACGGGTGCCTCAGCTGTTGGCACGTCGGGAGTAGAGACGGTGAAACTAACAGCCGTCCTCGACCAAAGTAGGAAGAACATGATTGGGTCGACTGACAATGGCCTTATCGATCAAGCTTTCAGCCAATAACTTCGGGTACTCCTCGAGCTAGGCAACCACTGTTACGCAACACAACAGATGATATGGCTAGAATGCAATGCGGTCACATTTCTTAAAGAAGAGCAAAAATCTGCTACGTGCAGCGGCGGCTGCGCGATATTCACATCTGATTGTAACAAATTGTCGAGATCGCTTCTTCCAAGCATATCATTCAGAATGCTGCCGTTCAGAACACGCTCCATGAATGGGACTGAACGGTCTTGGTTCAGAATGAATCTCCTAGGGGCACGCTGGATAAACTCTCGCCTCTAGCAGTGCTAGTAACCTGGCACAGCACTCATCTCATACAGTTGTGTATGGCCAAGAATCAGAGTGAGCTCACTCATCTCCGAACTCGGGGGTACACCCAAAGTGCAGCAGAAGTGATGCGGTGGGCACGACTGCATAAGCGCGGCATCATTTCTGGTACTGGATAGGTTGGTGCAGCACATCTCAACACCTGCGTGGGCTAGGATAACCAAACTAGCAATGCAGAAATCGGAATATGATGCAATTACTAGTCTGCAAAAATCCTAGGCGATCCAGGCATGACAGAATCTGCACCTTCAGGTGCTTCCTCACAGAAGAGATGGACTCTCAACTGGCTCTGTTCAAAAAGACGGCGATGCACACTCGAGTAAATGCCAGCCATATAGCGTCGGACGAAGTCCTGGCGAGGCAATCCGATCGAAAGCTCCCGACGCACTGACACTGGGTCTCCTTGTCTGATGCCACGGGCTTCGTCAGGGCAGCGGATACCATCCAAATTGTTTCCGGCTTTTGGCTCTTTGAGAAAAGCATCTCACATTTCACGCCTTGTTTGCTGTTGATCTCGATCACCTTGACCGGCTTGCCCAGCCACTTGCTGAAGTCCTGCTGATGGGAACCAGCTTGTGACCAAAACGAAAAACAGTTTCCGTCGTGCTGACTTTGCAGTCCTTCAGTCCCTTGCCTTCGGCCATGAATGCACGCCTGGCTGCCTGTAGATCAGATATAACCTGTACGGTTAGATCTTTCTCCAAGTCAGCCGTCGCGTAAGGTTGCTCCCAAGGGAGCCCGGCCCGCCGGTTCATGATCAAGAAAAGAACTCTACGACCACACCACCTTACCTGGCCTGCTGCAAGCCACAGTAGACCTGCGTAGGATAAAGCAATGGAGATCAAGCCTGATCTTGGGACAAGCATCTCGGGACTGCAGTCGTGCCTCTAGCAAACCTAATTATTGACCTTCCCACTTACTTTCTTGCTCATGTGCCTGCGAAGGTTACGCATGCATGTGTTCACATCTGTCTGTTTGTTGTGTGCGCGTGGGTGTATATATATATATATATGTATGTATGTATGTATGTATATATGTATGTATGTATGTATGTATATATATATATATATATACATCTGTCCCTGTTTGTGTGTGTGTCCCAGTTGCGACACCTGTTGGCCGCCCTCCACTTAACAAACGACTTCACCATGTATGCGTATATATGTATACCTTGCTTGCTATATCTCTCTCTACCTCTCTCGCTCGATAAGTATGTATATACATACAGTACGTACATATACACATACCAGCCACTTTCAGAGCTCTGTTTTCCATGCAGTGGAGATTAGTTGGGACATTCAGGAGCACGGCAATGCATCGGGCATGGTTTAGCCCCGCCGTCTGGTGCTGCAGTCAGGGCCACACGCCCTCTTGACGGTGAGCCAGGCTCAGCTGCCAAACAAACTTCAGGGTCCTTTTCCACCGCCCCAGCTGACCATAGGGTTGACGGTTTCGGGGTTAAGGATGCAGCGTTTTATGAGGGCTTGGCTTCAGAGTTTTGGGTTTTGGTCCAGGCTTGGAGCAAGAGCTCGTCACATGCATGCGGCACCGTCTCCAGCTGGTCAGGTCATCGGATTGACAGAAGATGAGCGAACCATACGTATTGTACTATCTACCTATCTATCTATCTATCTCTATAATCTATAATATGAATCTCTATATATATATATATATATATATATGTACATTATCATTCGTATAGTATAGTATTCAGCGTCCACTCGATGCTATTAGCATTGAATCCGCCTGCCCTGTCCGCTGCTGAGCTCATCGTATCGGCTCCTTGTTCTGACTACTCGAACTTGTCATCTCTCCTTGGTCTCGGCGCAACATTTAGAGGTAATGTAGTAACCTGATTGCGAAACCCTGGCCCTTTAACCCCAATATATTAGGAATCCATATTTATTCAAGAACCCTAATAAGGGCCCAAGGTTTCTTAACCGGGATCCTACATTAGAGACGCTTGAGGAAATCGAGACATGGACGCAGCACGATACACTGAGGACACCACTTCCCGGTGATTTTTCGATGGGCGAACTCCAAGCACCTGCAACATGCAAAGCCGCGATGCAGGACTCTTACTTCGAATTGTCAGCGAGTGTGAACAAGGAATGATTTCAAACAGACCACAACCAGATCGAGCGGAGCTAGCTGCCTTCAGGATCAGGCCTCGACCTAGACATGATTTCAACAAGCCGTAGCCGGGGGTTCCCGCCTGATCAGCAGCAAGGCCGCAATGAAGACAATCGCTAGACTGCCACACGCGATGAGAATCACCAGGATCCCTGGCACGATTCTTCCATGCGCTGCCGATGGGATCTTTCGAGCGGGGGAGTATGTACCTAAACAAGCCTGAGCCAACGTGAACATCATCCAGGCCCCTAGCCCGAACTGGAAATCTCAAGACCAGTGCCTTATGGTCCAAAGGCTTGGAAAGCCATTTTGCGAGCAATGTCCATCATGCGTTCATGCTGAGGAAGTCTAGAATGATGCCGCCCCAACAAGTCAGACCCGAACACGAAACAAGCACAGGGGTCAGGCCTGATGGCTTTCCTTGGCTCCGGCAGGACTTGGAAGGCTTGTGATTGGCAGCAAGGGCTCTCCGACCACCCTTTGCTGTGCAGTACTACAGTTCCGCCTCTGAGAGAAAACATTGCAAAGCGACTGTTTTCGGTGCGGGTCAATGGCAGAAAAACTAAGCTAATGCGACAACCGGAAATAAGGAGCACAAGGCTTCCTTGCTGTCGCACAGCCTTATCGGGACGGAAGCGATTGTTAACAGAACAGGCCTCTATTTATCGCTTTTGGACCCAGCACTCTGATTGCCAGGTTCTGGAACTCTCTATAATGCCAAAGCACCTCGAACACGTCAAATGAGACAACAGTTTGGCACCAACAGCCAAAAACTGAAAGGTACGCACGGAAGTGTCAGAGCACACACCTCGAATAGGCCATGTTAGCTACAGGAGTCGTGCCGCGGCAAACTAGAGCGGTGCCGCCGACAATGATCAGTACGACATGTGCAGCACGACAAGCACCCCTAAATTACCGGCATGAGCGGAAAATGCTCACCGCCATTGCCAGCAAGAACAGAACCACAGCAACAGCATCACCAACATCATGGCATCCTCGTCTACATATTTATCATCAGCTTGCTAAAAAACATTGTGTTATCCTTCACTACACTCGCCCACATTTGTCGGGTTCTTCGCTTGCTCTGGCATGCTCTATGACCAATTTAGCCCTGATCCAGGTGAAATTCTTGCGCTGGGCCTGTTCAGCATATGAGCAACCTGAGATTATTTTGCAGCCACAGGCTCTGGGCGCCTGTGCCTGTGCTCGGGCGCAGGGAAGGAGAACAGTGGCAAGCCTGGCGGCCGGCAAGCAGATGTACGTAAGGCTACACACTCGGTTCAAGGCTGGTGAAGAGGACCCCGTAAGGGTTCCCTTAAGGTTCCCTTACGGGCTCCCTTAAGGGTTCCCTGATGGGGATCAAGGTGCTGAAAGATTTATGGCCCTGGGCAGCCCTGACTCGGAAGTGATGCGACTGCCGCAATGCTCGGGCCACAAACTCTAAAGCATGTGCTCTCAGAAAGGCCAAGGATACCCCAAACTATCATGAAGCGTCAGGGCACATACGAGCCCTACCATGTAAGTAAAGACTGGGACTGGAGATCCTCACGAAAATCTGGGGTCACCGCAACACCGCGAGAAGCTGCTTTGGCGGTGCTGCCACCATCATGCCTGGGCTAAGCTCTATGGCTCGTCACACCCACCTGCGCCGACAAAACACGTACACCGTATACTTAAGCCTCCGGTGCAACCTTACACGCTCTAAGGCCTAGATCCTAGACCCTTCAAACTTAACAGACACCGAGACTTATAAATCACTGCAGCACTCGAATGATGGGCATCCGGAACTGATACAAGCCCTAACCCTCACCAAGGCAAACAAACATATAAACAGCAACCTTATAGTGCTGAATCTCACTGAAAGTCATCCGCCAACAGCATTACAAAGCCGCACCAACCCCAAGCCCAACCCACTTGCCTCGCCCTCCTCGTCCCCGCTGGCCAGGGGCTTCACAGGAGGCCAAGGGCAGAGGAGCAGAAACAGCTGAACGGCAGGGCCTTTCTTCACAGAAGAGGGCTTTGGGTGCAGGACTTCGACAATATTTAGCTTTGCTTTAGATGCTCCTGTTTGAACCGCTATCGAAAAGCCTTGTCAAGGTTTCGCGCATTACGGCTAGTTGGTTTCGGGGTTCAGGGTTGAAGGTGTTTGACCTTGAGCTTTGCAGGTTTCATGGGTGTCAGAATACAGGGTGTAAGGTTTGGGGCGTGGCTTGGGCATGTGGGGGATGAGATTGTGCTGCTGCTGCTGCTGCTACTACTACTACTACTATTACTACTACTACTACTACTACTACTACTACTACTACTACTACTACTACTACTACTACTACTACTCTGGACATGATACGACTCTGGGATCGGGTGGGGGGGAGGGGGGCCCGGGCACGGGGAAAAGGTACTTGTGAATCTGGGAGAGCCTCGGGGAAGCTCAGGCCTTCCGCCCTTTGACCCCTGTCCCTCGAGGCTTCCATAAACCGAGGCTTCGCACCTCACTCGCCAAACTACCATCCTTCTGATTGCTTGCACCAGCAGTTTTGGTTTTGCGTTCAGGGATGAGAGGTGCTGTCACGGTAGCTTGATGTCTTAATCCTTCAGGTCCCACGTCTGCGGCTTTGGGTTTATGATCTACGCAAGAAAGGGTTTGGGGTCGGTTTAGGATTTGGGGGATTTGGCAGCAGGTCATCCGGGTGCTTTGCTGTAGGGCTTCGGGGATGGAGTTTGGGGCCGACAGTGGCCAGCCGCAGTCAATGCAGCATTATCACTCCGACTGGATGCTCGCACCATCTCGCACCCTAAATACCAAAACCCGCAGACCTAACAGCCCGACACACTAAAGCCCTAAACCCTAGAAGCGTTTGACATGGACTGCAATCGGGACTATGTCAGGTGAAACGAAACAGCAAAGTCACGGGCAGTTCCCAATTGAATCTTCTTGCTACACTAGGTTGGGGGGCAGGTAGGGTTGAGGGTCTTAACTGAGGCTGATGGCCCGAACCAGAGTCCTCTTCGCATGTTTAACGCATGCAAATTCGAGATGACATTCATGCACAAGGGATGCCTGGTTCCCTTGGAAATGTGCATGCTCTCAGACACACAAGGGGAACTGCTCGCGTGACAGTTGCAGGCCCTAAAAGCTACGGGGTTTAGGGTTGAGAGGGTTTAGGGATATTTAGACTTTTGGTAAGGGCTTTGAGACTAAACTACTGGCGACTCCTCTCTGCCAGGATATATCACAGGAAGCAGTCAAGGATACCTTCCCATTGCAGAAAGCCCTACGGCTAGTCGTTCAGGTCTCTTAAAACATCACGCTTTCAGGCTGTCACTCACCCACAGGTCCGACCTCAGGTGTCAAAGGAAGCTGGCAAGGCTTGGCGCCAAGCACGAACGACGGCTTCTGTCAAAACGGGTGTGCATGTGGTCTTGGCTTGTTGCAGAAGTTATGATGTGTCACGGACACGGTTTCCACATGGCACTGATCACATCCACTCCCACAGCGGCGGCAGTTGGACCACGCGATCCTCCAGGGTCCAGACCCTTCAACAACATCTCCTGAGCTGAGCTCTTCGGCACGGAGTGAGCATGGGCTGCGAAAATGCTAAATCTTCTTACCAGGCTCAATCATCATGCTAGCCATACGCAACATCAGAACCAGATTTGGGGCAAGCTCCTTGTCCCTGCACAACACTGACACCCCGATGCCCTAAACTGCTAGACCCACTCATGGCGGCCAAGCTTCGTAGACCCGGTGTGCATACTGCAGCACTGCCGCGTCACCGGAGGCGCCACGCAGGCATTGACCTGGTATGTGTTGGAACTCTGAACCATCGACAAAACCAGAAACCCTCAAATCTTCACCCTTTGCAACCAGAGTGTGTTGCTCCGCTGGTGACCCAACCGAAAATTGAAACCATGGCAACAACCATGCGATCGAGATGTGAAAAAATGATTGAGTGCATGGGAGCACTGGGTGACGTGATGCATCGCAAGCACCTTGCCGATAACCGCAAAGATGGTGACTGAGCATCATGCTGGTCATGTTCGCTACGGCAAGTACCATTCTACCCTGATAATGATGCAAGCAATTAGCAACATTCCAAGCTCATCATCGGCAGAATGGCTGGCATCGCCCTAAACCCAAATCCTAAAAAGGCGGCATCGGCTCTTCCGATCTCAAGGCTGAGACCTGCCATGTCCCAAGGCCGAGGACCCAAATCTCTTGATCCCTGGCACACAGATCCGGGCCTGGGTTTGAAGTGTATTTCATGTTTACATGCATACATACGGATATATAATACAATATAATACAATATAATATATATATATATATATATATGTATATATATATATATACAGATGTATATATATATATATATATATATATATATATATACACGTGTAAATAAATACATAAATACATATATATATATATATATATATATGTATGTATGTATATCTATATATATATATATATACATGTGTATATATATAAGGTAATAGTTATGTGTACATACATGTACACATGTGTGAACATATGTGCATAGGTATCTATGTGAACATGCACCGAGATATCAGGTATCCCGAAGCCCCAACCCATTCGCCCTGAAGAGAAACTGTGGCTCAGGCATTTGTTGCACCGCTGACGCCGAGGGAAGTTGATGTTGCCTGGACACTTCGCTTTGAACCAATTGGAAAGTCGGAATGTCTTGTGGGCTGGCGGACTCAGTGTGGTCTGAGCACAAGTCTGGTAGAAGGCCTAGCAGCACCGATTTTGAAGGCGTGATGTTTGCTGCTACACCGAGCCAACCCGAAGCATGAACCCCGAAAGCCAGAAATCCAAAAAAGCCTACGATGCGACTTGCTCCCGGTCTGCCCATAATCCGGATACTAACTTGTTGTCGCCCAGATGCTGCAGTTCTCACAGCGCCAGTTGCCGTCCTGCACATTCCGGGGCATAGTGAGTGCGAGGCGAAATTCCAAGCGCCCAAGCCCGCCAAGCTTCAATCATTTCTTGATGCTACATACTATCGTGGATAGAACTGAGAAAACTTTAGGAATAAATTAAACCGAGTCATGATATTGCACCACCCTACGTGCATCTGTTATCGTGCAAGACCTGCACAGTTCCATTACAGTGTGCAGAGACAGCCATGCGGTGTTGACTTTTGATAGCTTTCTCAAAGATCGGAGTCTTCTGAGCTGAAGCTTTCAAGAATTGTAGCAGTAAGTTCGATCCTTCCCCGGAACACCTGACAGGAACACACGAACCCCTTGACACGAAGACACCTGGCTGGTTTGAAAACACGATATGCTCGGAACAAGGCCATAACACCTGGACCCGAATCCATTCTCCCGATTTCCCTCACTCATCCGTAAACCCAGAACCCTGAATCTGGAACTCCCTGTTCCAAACCGTCAGATCTTTTTTTGTCATATCTGCCGATCCAGCTAGCACAAGCTTTGCGGCAACGGTGGTGTGAGACTGCAAGAAAGCAATAACAGGTGCTCTGACTCTGCGGGGGCACCCGTCTAAACCACCAGAACCCTTAGAGGCCTAGACCCCCAAACCCGGTACCCCTTTACAACCTCCCGTAAACGAAACCCAACATCAAAAACCCAGAAACCCTTAGAACCCCGCAACACATCGTTATGAAGCCTTCAGTTGTCTCACAGCATCTACGGATAACCTTCCAGACTCTGGCTTCAAACCCTCCTCAGCCCTCAACTGCACCACACAATTCCCAACAGTGAACGAAGCTCAAGACCTCATGGAAAGTAGATTCCAAAGCTATTGCAGTTCTCATTGCTGCATCGCTCTGGGAACTCGTATCCCAAGCAGGTAAAGTCTTGCGCGTAGACCTGGCTTTCACGAGGGTAAGCGGTGCGTGGGATACTCATCGCCGACTTTCTATCATGTGTGGTTAACTAATTGTGCTTTTCGGTCGCAGTGATTGCAGATCAAACATCTGACTACGGGCAGCGTTCATTTGTCTTCAAGACGGTCATGGCTTCATCAATTTCAACAAGGATTCCTCGTATTTCCTCGTCAAGCTGAGCACTTATGGGTTATCTTGGCACGTGACCTTTGTACATCTGGACTCACGACTTGAACATCAGAACATCAGTTTGACAGTGTGGAGGTAAAATTCTGCAAATGCCAAAGCGGTGCCTTGCAGACAGCGCAGATCGTCTTCGTGTCGGCAAAGATGGCATCGAAGTACAGCTGCTTCAGTTTACTGTCGCCACTGGAGTTCTTTTCTTCCTTCTCCTCGCGCTGGCAACATCGTTTCACCACTAGGCCGTTCTGTTCTAAAGACATGCACTTGTTGAAGTTTTCTTGAAAGCAAGCACGCCTTACTGAAATTTCGAAGTCATTTCAATGACGGAAGTCAAGGACATAGTTGACGGGTTTACGGCTGAGGGCGTTATCTCACCTGCTAGTCGTTCACGGGCCCGCGAGAACCAGCAAACTGCTGGGGGTACCCCTTTACTGAATGTGGTCGACACTCTGAGGATGCATTACTCACGGTTTGTACCCTGAACCCTAAACCCGTCACTAAAAGGCTCTCTGCATGCCCTGTCTTCCTCTGTTCGGAGCCTGGGTTTGGATCCGAAAAATGGGAATCTTACATCGAACCCTGCACCCCCCTAAACTTGTTCTGCAACCGGAGCTTGGTGACTGCCACAAGACAATACAAGACATACGCCTAACACACCTGAACCCTAACCAAACCTTGTAAGCCCTGAAGCCGCATCTCTAAACCCCAGACACTATAACCCCTAAACCCTAAAACCTAAACCCTTTTTTGAACCCTGAACCCTAAACCGTGGCGATGTCCTGAATGTCGATCTGCGTTAGCCGGCTCAGCTCCTGGCAACAGCTTCAGACTCGTAGGCTTCATCAGGGTTCGGCCACGCTTTAGAGTTTAGGGCAGGGTTTCATATGGTTTCCATAAGGCCTCTCTATATGTAGGGGTGACTTTCTTACAATGCTTAGAGTCTATGGTTCAGGGCTTAGTTTTGCAAGTTCGAAAAGGGTTTTGAAGGAGTTTATCATGATTAACCAGAGGTTTACAAGCAGTTTACAAGTCAAGGGTTACTACATCATTGATCGTACTTATCAGGGACTGCTTCAAGGTCGTCGTTTTTCTGAAGCTCCCATTATCGACATTAGCGTTGAGGAATTGGGGTTCAGGGTCGTTGTTGCTAGGTTTCCTGCCCCCTGTTCTTGTTATCCACATCATGTAAGCATAGTTGCTGAGTTCATAAGACCCAAAAAGTGAGCACTTTTAGTTTTATAGCGGATGATTATATATATATATATACACACACACACACACACATATATATATATATATATATATATATGTGTGTATGTGCGTATATATATATATATATATATATATATATCTATATATATATATATATATATATATATATATGTGCGTGTATATATATATATACATATATATATATATACCCCCCAAAGTGCAAAGTGTATCCACTCAGCTACTAAGAAAGTGATGGCGGCTCTCACGAGCACTATGATTCACAGGCAGGCCTGCAGGTCGCGGTTGAAGTTGTCCACTTCCAGAAGGAAGTCCCAGGCAATGGGATTGCCAAGCCTCTTCTGAGGCCGGGGATAAGACGTTGGCCCTAAACCCTAAACCCTAAACCCTAAACCTTGGGCCGTGGTTGTCGGAAGTTCGGGGAGTTTTTGTGGCCATGATATACGCGTTGGGGTGCTTAGGCAGGGTCACCTGCACTCAGTACCAGGACTATGCGTGTGTAAGCTTCCGAGTTGTAGTAAAGGCAGGAAGACAGGCACGAACATCATCAACATAGTTCGCTCACAGCTTACGGGGCAATCGTCTTCGACACTGTTCGGCTTTGAAACTTTGACTGTGCCCGGGAGTGTGTCAACAGAAAAATTCATCCAAGGTTCTCTTGCTCAGAACGGCACGCATCTCTCTCCATCACGTGCAAAGTACCATCAGCTCTTAAGGTATGAGGATCTTACATAGGGCATCGTACACGGACAGGTCTGAACAACTCAGGAAGCTCAGGCAGCACTTACTCAAACCGTCATCAAGAGCGGCTATACATAGACTATGAGGACGCAACACCATTGAAAGGACATTGGCCTGCATACTGGATTACTAGATAGCATTATGTGGCCGGCTAGTATGCTGAAACACCCATACATGTATGATGCCTCTCCACTGACGTCTCTTTCTTGCATCTGATGATGCATCTCCAGTGTGAACCAGGACCCTCCTTGTACCCTCAAATAGGCAATAGGGGTATATGGTCCCCAATAAGCGGCATTTAGGGTCTAATAGAGGGTAGATGGAGGGTCTAGGAACACAGGGCAGACCCGAGATGTTAGCCAACCGGCCAGGGCGTGCTGGGCCTGTTCGTCCCAGCCACATGTGGCGTTTTCACCACACGGCCAAAATGTCTTGAGGTGTCGGACAAGGCTTCCTGCCAAGCGTTGAAAGTGATATGGGTCCAAGCACCAGTTTGACCACTCCAAAGCAACATGAGCAGGGTTCGAGGTTACACAGCGGGCAAGAGACCTTCCATGGCAGGTAAAAGCCACATACCACATGCCCATGTCAATGTCTACGCCTACAGCTAAGGCTAAGGCAAGAAACAGAAGCGGATTCCACTCACGCAGTCCACCAGTGGTGGATGCTGCTTTCGAATTCCTATCACCACAGAAGAACTGAATGCAAAGTGTGGCTGTGGCATTTGGACTGCTGCTGGCGCAGCATTCGTCCAGTCCTTTGGACATGGACCTATAAACACACACTATTCACTATGGTTCTCTCCTGCCTAGATCTGCGAATCCGGACAATCAGTGCCACAGCTAACATTTAATTCGGCCTCCGATCGGAGCCCAATCTTGGAATGAGGATTTTTTTAACACCTCGTGACAGTCTGAGCTCTTATCTGTTCGTGCAAATCTGCCCCATGCAGTCACAGGGAGTGGTTCCGCGGCTGTCCCGCTGCAAGGGGTCTGCGCCGAAGTAGAGAAGCAAACGAACCATGTGCCAGTCTCTCTCATTTGCTGCGAGATGCAGTGGATAGGTTCGGTACAGACCACCAAGCGACGTTTTCGCCACGTTGACATTGAAGCTGTCACTGCGAATGCCGTGCCGCTGCAGGAACTTGTCCACTTGAGTCCTGGCCTTCTGCAGATTAGACTGCCGCACCCGGACCTTTTGATGCCTTTCGATCCTTTCTTGCATCTGCTTCGCTTCCCACTTTGCCGCTTGGTCTGCACTGCATTGCAACGCTTCGTCCTCTTCCACTGCCTTGCAGCGCCCGCCGCGTTGATGGAACGTCTGGTTAGGCAACGACATACCGAACCAGCTTGAGCCAAAATGAACCAAGGTTTCAGGGTGCGGCGAAAAGCTTCGCTGGAGTACAATTACAGGGTGGGAGTGGATCTTGAAACCCTGGCTTACACTAACCTTCCAGAGTTTCAGCGGGCGTTCTCACCATAAACAAAACGAATGAACTCCAAAGAATGATGTTCATGTAGTTCCTTGCTCGTAAAGTCAAGGGGACCTCAGTGCGGAGCCATCCCTGTAGCTGCGGCGCCTCCAGTATTGAAACCCCGCCCGTCACATGCCGAAGCAAATCGCACCCGTGATGAGGTTCCTCTTCACGCTTCCATTTTACACCTGGGCTATGCATCTGCCAGGAGCCAAGGCGCCGAACGAACGCTAAACTCGAATCTAAACCTCAAGTTCAAGCCCTAAACCCCCAGGATTCCCAAACTCCTGCATCATTAAACTCTAGATCTCTTAAACTCAACACCCTACCTCCTTGAGGCCGGGGAGCATGTCCGTGGCAGAGAGGAAGTAGCTCTGCGTTGCGTGCTCGCAGCTCCTGTGGCCAGATTGCAATCGAATTTACAATAGATTATGCTAAGACCCCTGTTCCTCTTCTGGGTTGTAAGATTCCACAGAAAAATCTACTGTTAATTCTACTTTCTGTTTTTCCTCTGAGTTTAGCGCCTTTTGGGGGGTTCAACCCTCGGCTCACAAAAGCAGCCGCCCCCTTCTCCAAAGCACCGGCCCACTCTGACAACCACCGCAAAAGCATAAACACCCTCAAGTAAAGGGGTACAAAAGAGAAACCCTGGAAACAATGTAAGGCATGCATGCTTCTTAATTGACTTGTAAGTTGGGCTCGCTGGGAACCCTGCGTGCAAACCTGCAACAGTACGTGACTTGAGAACCTCGTAATTAAATGCATCTGCATCCCTATTTTCTGGAAGCCCTAGCTAACCTGAACCCAGTCTGAGCCTTTTCCCAAAAATCTAAGCCCCAAAAGCCCAACAGCACCCACAAAGGCCACAGAACCTTCAACCATAAATAAAGCCCTGCAGCCAAAACCCACAAACTCAAAAAACGAACAACTCCGAAACCCCGTCTCAACCAAAACCTAGCCATCCCCGAAAACCATTTCTTCTGAAGGGCCCTTACACTTTCTGCCCGCCTCCACTGGCCAGGGAAGTCCCTTAAGAGCCGTTCGGCTTGGTGCTGCGCCTGGATGGATCCGCTTGCTGGGGGCTCGCGGCGGCTGCAAGGGTCAAACCATTCCAAGATGACCTACTTGTCCACTATCCTGGATAACTAAAGGTTAACCTTTGGGAGTATATTGGGAATATGTAGGGATTGTAGCACGTAGCCCAAAATGGCTATAGGCTACCTGCTCTGCTAATTCTGGCTCAGGGCTGCGACACTCCATGCCCTGAGCATTGCCAAAGAGTCCCTGGCATGCGTCGGCACACAGCCTGCTGCACCACGCCGTCGCAGGGGACACCATCACCTTGAGCTCTTAAGCCGCAAAACAACCATAAACCTAATGAAACGGGGTACAGCCTCAAGCTGTTAGACATGCCGCATGTCTAGAAGAATTACAGGCCTCATAAGAAAAGATGACAAACCTCGAAATTCGTACAAACGGTTCGCCAATCCGTTGTCCCAGCTCAGTTTTGTCAAAATACCTAAAAGCCGCGCCTGTCATCCTTTGAACCATTTGAACCTTACAAGCCCCATCCGAAACCACCACAAAGAAACAGTTCCTGTCAGGAACAGGTGGCAACTTGGAAGGGCAAAGTGCTCGTTCACAGATGCAACGAAGCGGTCCAGTGGGTGTCGAAACGTCGCAATCTTCCTGGAACAGCAAAAGAGATGCACGATGCATGTAATTATCAAGCCCCTCTAAATTCCGTTTGGTGGCTTAGGGCTTTCGGTGCGGTTGGTCAAGAGACAGGGATCGCTTAGCCAAGAAGCCCTCGACTAGGTCTTAAAAAGTCCAACATGTTCAACAGGCTGCTAATTCTACACCCCGAAACCCTACGCAAGGCTGCCACTCTCTCTCTGTCTCTCTGTCTGTCTGTCTGTCTGTCCGTCCGTCCGTCCGTCTGTCTGTCTGTCTCGCTCTCTCTCTCTCTCTCTCTTTCTCTCTCTCCCTCCCTCTCCCAGGCATTCGCTAGGTCAAGAAGGCTGCCTAAACCCTAAACCATAAACCCTACGCAAGGCTGCTAAAACAAAGAGACAAGGAGCCATCGGGCATCCGTGACACCGGAGCTGAAGGTGGTCGTCCAGCTGCAGCCTGCTTAGTTCCGGGTTCGGAGGTTGAAAAAAAGGGCATTCAGCTTTAGGGTTTCGGCGCTCACACTCGGACAATCCAGGCGAGGCATATGGTTCGGAGTCTGACAAGTGAAACGAAACCAAAGGGAGGAGTCATGATGATAAGCAACAAGCAATTTGTTCAACACATAAAGCGACTGTGCTTCCGTAAACTTCTTCCCGCCGAGGGCCGAGGATGCAGGGTTTTAGGGTTCAGGGTTCTGGGCTTTCTTGGCATTACACTTCTCGGCTTGTGCACGTCGTCCTTCTGCAAGGGCCAGGCCAATCTTGTCTGCATCGTTGCAAGGCTTCCATTCGGACTTTGGGGTTTTGGAGTCCAGGGTTGAGTGTATAATATAAGGGTCTTAATAATTACAATACAGCTTCGGGGTATATGATACTAGAGTTATGACAAAGAACTCCCAACATAGTATAGGGACCCCTATATTAGAACCACCAACAGCAAGAGGCATGGCCACGAGCCTCAGGGTAAACGTTCTGAATGCTTGTGCACCTCCAGCTTAAAAGTGTACATCAGCAACGCAAAGGCAGCGAGCGCTGATCGAACAACCCTTCACGCAAAAGACGGCATGGACATCTCCTTCCTGCAAGCACTCGACCTGCGACACAGCCGAGGTCCGAAATCCTAATGAAACCATTTTAAATGAATTAAGGCTTTAAGGCCCCTATACATAGTCTTTGTTCATCCCTTCGCCGCAGAGACTGTGGCATGCGTAGCCCCTCAAATCGAGTCCTGGAGAAATCGGTCAAACCTCACACAGCTCAGGCTATAGAGGGTTTAGGGTCTACCGAGACCCCTCAACTACCCTCCATAATACCCCACCAAACCCTATCCTTCCTTAAGCCTCAAGAAGAAACTGACGTCAGCCCTGAATCCAACACCCTCTCTCTGCCAACTTGCCCCTAAGCAACCTCGGGACATCCGAAACACAAGAAGCCCTGGAAACCCCGCAAGCCCTAAGAAACCCGAAACCCGGAAAGCCCTTTGCGCATCCCCCGCCCTCCGGGATCACGTCCAAAGCCTCAAGCCTATAAGTTAACATCCCCATCAACGCAAAACCCCCCTGGAGATACGAAAGCCCCGAGCAAGGAGAGCCCTCTGTGAAACAAGAACAGTTCCATACAGCCCAACTTACACCAAAAATCCTAAACCCCAAGAAAACCTAGACCCTCCATCTACCCTCTAGTAGACCCTAGATGCCCATTGCTTGGGGCCATATAGACCCTTATCTGAGGGCACAAAAAATAAAAAACCCTGGGCATCCGAAGCCTTCATATATGAGTCCTTAGATGCCCAGGGAAAGACCTGGAAACCGGCCCAAGGAGGACAGGCCTGGTAGATGCCCTTGTGCTCCGCAGTCCGACAGATTTTTCCAGTGCGGGCCCATGAAGCGAGTGGTGTGCGCGACGTTCTTCTCTCGAGAAAGAAAGACATTCCTAGGAACGACGGTTTTCAGTTTCTTTTTGAGCCCTTTTTTACGGCTGCCCATCCGTCCGAACTGCCATAAGGTTTTTAGGAGTTGCGGTTTCTGGGTTCTGGTTAAAACGTTTAACTTAAGTTACCGTAATGAGGGTCTATAATACATGACATGGTTTCCTTATTATGGTAACTTAAATTAAACTGGTTAACGAGAGCCCGAGGATTTGTGTGGTCATGTTTCGCCTGTTTGGGGAGACAGTTACACTCGGCATTTCCTACCCGCCCAGCTGACACAGTCGCACAGCTCGGTTTGGGGATGAGGGTTGCGGGTCTTCGAGATGTTCCTAGGAACGGGTGGCGGGGTAGTGGCTTTATGTTGCTTATGTCTAAGGGCTCTCCAGAACCCGTACCGGCATTGCACTAGTGAGCATCAGTTGTCTGACATGCCGTTAGACCATGCAAATTGAAACGCCGAATACAAAAAAAGATAGACCAAACATGCAAGTTGAAACCCCGAAAATAACGGCCAACTCCCAAAATTTCTGTCAAGCCTCATGCAACAGCGACTCACCCCGAACCCGGAAAAAAAAGAACAACAACGTGGAACCCTGAACCTTCAACCTTGAACGGCACCTTGATCCTACGGTTTAGGGTTTCAGCACTCACAGGGGTTTAGGGTTTAGGGGGTTTAGGGGGTGTAAGGGTTTTGGGGTTTTAATCCGTGAATTTAGGCCTCGACCTTGTGACCACTGACTTGAGAAAAATGTCAGAGCCCCGGTCCACAGGAGCCGACAAAGCTGCTTGGGGCGCTCAATAAGTCGAAGAGGGCGGTGGGAGGACAGTGTTTAGGGTTTAGGGTTTAGTATGGCTTAAAGGAAATCCAACTGCAAAATTGAGTTTACCTAAGAGTGACATCTAAGCATCTAAGCCGTAAACATGCACCCCAAACCCCGAAGTTGACATCCCAAAAACCCAGACCCGAAACCCTGCACCCCCAAATCCAAAAATCCAAACCTGGAGCGTTTAACAAAGGAGCACAAGACAGCATCTAAACCATGCTTGAAAGAATATCAGACTGTAGGGTTTGGGTTGTCTGTACTACAAAGCTGAAAATTACAAAAGTTGCATGCCAGCAACCACAGGGCATCTGTCAAGCTTGTGGAGGCACACTTCCACACCTCGTTCACGTAAACGAATGACGAAACCCCCAGGGGGAGTAACTCTCTCTCTCGCTCTCACATTCTCTCTCTCTCTCTCTCTCTCTCTCTCTCTCTCTCTCTCTCTCTCTCTCTTCTTAACCAAGGCTTGCGGGGTTGGTTGGACCCCTCGGCCCCATCGGCCCCCCATGTGTTATGGGGCTGTGTAGTAGTGTGGAAGAAAGGCCACACTAGTAATTACAACAAGAGTCGCCAGGTCGGTGGAATCGGAACTGCAACTAGATAGAGGAGACAGCCAGTAGTAACACCAGGGCCTTGATAATTACCTATACTATTTTGGAAGTTGCCCAATTAAACTTATAGTAGAATGGGCCCCAAAACCGTATTCTAATTATTTAAGACCCTGTATAGTAATGCAAAAGCTGCCGGTAAGGACCACATTGACAATGAGATGGTGGTACTGATGTGGGGATCCCTGAATGTGCGGGACTGACATGGGTAAACCCTAAAGTTCAAAAGCCTTATGCAAAGCCTAATACAGGGGCCCATAATTGGAATATGGCTTGTGGAATCTGCTATAGTTAGAAGCGAACTTTCATGGTATAACTTCGCTACAGTGATTATTCGGAACACTACGACTCTAAACCCTGTCCCCTTTATAAAACCAAGCCATATCCGGGGTGCCGCAGCTGCCAGCAGCGACTTCTCAGAGCCCACCTCAAGGTAGTTCACCTGCGAAAGGGGACTGAGTGTGGAGTCTATACGGGTAGTTCTAAATTGAAGTCCCTTTTGGCATCCTTTTTATAAGTGTGCCGTACTAGTTTGGCGACTTAACTGGGACCCTACTTTAGAGAACTGCCCGTAGGGAGGTCAGCCCGGTTTAGGGTTTAAGGACGTCTTGGTCAAGTGCTCGCATGGGTTGAGGCTGAACGGCCGAAGAAACCATTCTGACCAGGTTACCTCTCCTACTTGTCGGGTATCATGGGGAACCAAAGATTAACCTTGTTGGTTATATAGGGCTGATATAGGGACTATACTACCCAAGAAAGGATAAAGATTACATACTCGACTACCAGGCTCTACAAAACTGCAGAGCCAAACTGCAACCCAGTCGCGCATGCTAGCTTTGGAAGATCGTCGAACTCGAGTCTCCTTATATGGTAGTGGGTCGCCCTTGACACTAACTAAAGCCTGAGACCTTTTTGCAGCAGGCCTCGTTGTCCAGCAGCCCGGAAAATCCTCAACACTGCATGCTCAGCCTAATGTTGAACATGCCTTAAGCCTTGAGCCCGAAAGCCATCCATCAATCCTAAAACCCTGTTATATGGGGCATGATTTCTTAGAACAGAATGTTCCGTAAACTGGGCGGGTACTATATAGTACAGGCTTGCAACGTCACGCCACCTCAACCCTACAACATCAACCGCTAAACCCTTATTAAAACCCAAACCCTTACCTCTACATATTGAACCCCTAAGCCCCGAACCTGTCCCTCTCTCTCCCTCCCTCCCCCTGCCTTGATAGGCCGTTGCGCTGCATGAACCGCATAGGGCAGGCAGTAGTCCAAAGACTGGAGGGGAAGGGTTGGGTTTGGGGGATTGGATTCCGTCGAGATTCAGGTCCGAACAATGTTAAGCAAAAGGAATGGGGGTTACGTACCCCACCTTCATAAGGCCTGTACGCACACAGCATGCAGTTCTGAGGACTCAAGACGATGCAGAATGTGGGCTTGAGGCTGCTCTGGTTCACAGGCTTCTCCCGTCTCCCAGCCAGAAATAATGCCAGATGATATATCTTCTAAGATTGTCTTACAATCCATGCTGCCCGCGCTTGTTTATCATATCCAGTAAACATGCACGGACATGCCCAATGCCGTAGTACATGTCACTACTCCTTTTTACACATGCATGTGCTGCGTTGTGCTTCTGCCTGTTTAAACACCCTAACCCTCAACTCCGAACCTCGAAACATCCGTAGACAAGCCGCTGGACCATCCAAAGCGCAAACATCCCTGCATCCTACACCCACAAACCCAAACCGCTAAATTCTTAGACTATAGTATTTTGAGCACTACATTGCATGAACTCCTAAACCCGATTAGACTCTTAAAACCCTCAAGCTCCACACCTCGCAGGCATCAACTCCTAAACACTAAGCGAACAAACACAAACCTATAGACTCTTCAATTCAGCCCCTCTTTGCTACCGGACTCAAGGGACCAGCCCTAACCCCTAAGCCTTTTTTGCAGCAGGCCTCGTTGTCCAACAGCCCGGTTACAGCAAGAGCCCCCCGCCTAAACCTAAACCCTAAACCCCAAGCCCTAAACAGTAAACCCTAAACCCCAAGCCCTATACCCTAAACCCTAAACCCCAAGCCCTATACCGTAAACCCTAACCCCCAAGCCCTTTTTTTTAAGCACGGACTTGGAGTGTATGCCGGCAGCGAAGCTCTCTGGCAGAGCCTTCCTCAGTCACCTTAGGAGACCTCGGGGATGCACATATGAGCAACGCAAGAACGATGAGAATCACTGACGAGTGATGCATACTACAAGGGATGACATATCTTATCGAGGATTTTGCAATCTTCACTGGAGACGTACTCAAACAAAAGGGCTTTGTTGTGTCGCGACCACAACCCCCAAGCCCTAAACCCTAAACCCTTTTCAGCACGGACTGAGGTGCCGGCGGAACCCTGAACCCTAAGCCCCAAAGCCTAAACCCCAAGCCCTAAACAGTAAACCCTAAACCCCAAGCCCTAAACAGTAAACCCTAAACCCCAAGCCCTAAACAGTAAACCCTAAACCCCAAGCCCTAAACAGTAAACCCTAAACCCCAAGCCCTAAACAGTAAACCCTAAACCCCAAGCCCTAAACAGTAAACCCTAAACAGTAAACCCTAAACCCCAAGCCCTAAACAGTAAACCCTAAACCCCAAGCCCTAAACAGTAAACCCTAAACCCCAAGCCCTAAACAGTAAACCCTAAACCCCAAGCCCTAAACAGTAAACCCTAAACCCCAAGCCCTAAACAGTAAACCCTAAACCCCAAGCCCTAAACAGTAAACCCTAAACCCCAAGCCCTAAACAGTAAACCCTAAACCCCAAGCCCTAAACAGTAAACCCTAAACCCCAAGCCCTAAACCGTAAACCCTAAACCCCAAACCCCAAGCCCTAAACTCTAAGCCTAAACCCCAAGGCTCCGGGCCTCGAAGACATCCCGACATCCCGGAGGCTGGCAGGGTTCCTTGGCTTCCTCTACAGAGCCCCTTGAAAGGAACCCTTCTAGTACCCTTATAGTTGTAGAGACCCAAACTGAAACTTCTAAACTGGCCCAAACCCGAAACCCTGACCCCTAACCCTGGGCATCAAGATAGCCCAAAAGCCTTATATAGCATGGTCTTTGGGCGCAACAGCTTCCATCTATGAGTCCTGAGATGCCTAGGGTAAGGTCTCAAAGAGCGCAACAATCAGGTATTTAAGGTTTAGGATAGTAGTTCTGTGGCTGAGAATTGGGGAGGGCAGATGATTACTACGAACGTTGCAACTCCGCTATGGAATCATAGCGGGTGTAGGGTTTGGGTTTATGGTTGAGGCATAGGACCTTGCGTACATTACGGTTAAGGGGTCTCCATGTAATTTCATAGGCTTTCCGGCTCTGATAAGCATCCTTGACTGAGCGCATGCTCCCGTAATCCGGAGGGACCGTTGCTCGCTGTAGGCTCTGCAAAAACAGTTAAACAGGAAATCACTTACACCGTGAAAGCCCAGCTGCTTCGACTCTGGAGAAGTTTTCCTTCACTGCCACGTCCTCGTAA